TGTTGACCGCGCACCAAACAAAAATGGACGGTAACCAGCGGCATTCCAAAATGCACTTTGCGAAAAATGTGAAGTAGGATTTCAGAATGAAAGAAAAAAACTCCAAGGATTACTTTATTATATATAATCAACAAAAATGATGAGTTGAATTTACGAACAAACCCTTCTTTCAAAAACAAGTGATTGGCTGAATTATCTATCCCCGATTTTAAACGCCAGCCCTACCCAAAACAATCAGAGAATAGCAACCGCTCTCACTCGCGATATATAGCCTGGACTTACCTAGCAGGCCCTACGTAACCATGCTCATAAATTATTACTCTGCGCAATGTTAGTAAACGGCCTCATACAAGTTTTCTTGTAGGACGCGATAATGAAAACGATTAAGGGTACGAAACTAAAAAGGATAAAGAAACTCATGTGCACTGCACAATTCAACAAAATTCCAAACTAGTCGTCGAATCCGGTTATATGCGACGTACGTAGAAGATTCTGACCGCCTTTTCCTCACCTATATCGACAGTGTGAGCCAGCACAATCGAACATAACGAAAAGGCGTGAAAGCGCTTAAGGCGAAGTTCAAGGTATCATCGACTTCTCGGAGTAGATGGAGCGTGTCATTGCGGACTCGATAAGTCGATGACCTATCCTGTCTCACAGCCTTAGCATTGCTGCCAAGTCCACAAGGTCCGCGATCTCCGCCCCGTTTCAGTCTACCCTGGAGAAACGACGATACACATATCACTGAACACTGCAGGTAGCGGCACTTGCGATAGCTACTCCGATTTCGCAACTCATCGCCGGCCCAATCAGCATCCTACACCACCTTCTCACGTCAAGAAATCGCCCTTCAGTTGCTTTTCCGTGCGGTCTACCTATTTTCTCTCTACATCTCCTCGGCACCGCGCTTCACGACTAGCTACCCCGACAAGGTGTACACTTACCCCAACTATTTAGGATAAGCGTTTCGTTTTGCACCAGTGGCGGTCCGAGCCCCCCCCCCGAGAATGGGTCGCGAAATTTTTGAAAATTACCTATATGGGTTACAAAAATGTGCAAACGACTTGTTTATTTTTGTAAATAATTAAAATAAATTCTAAAATTTTTTAAATTTCAAACTAGCCTTATAAAAAATTTTTTTCGGGGGCGTGGCTAACGCCACTCCCCCTTTTTCCAGATTTCAGGGGTTGGGGACCCGCAAAAATTTTGAGAAGCACCCCAAAAAATTTTCGGACCTTCATTTGAAAAAAAACTTTGTCCCCCCCCCGGTCCGAAATCCTAGGACCGCCACTGGTTTGCACATAGTGTCTTTTCATCTCGCGATTAACAACCAACATGTATTTTCAAACAAAAGCGGTTACAGATTTGAAACGCTGTTATAACGCGACCCTTCATCATGGGTGCCAGGACTGGAGTCACCGAAAGCCAAATGCTGGACGATGTTGGAGCAAATGGCGCTGCTTCTGGACTGCACAACGGCAAAATCAAGGCATGTTCTGCACAGATAGTAAAAACTGGAAAAATTATTACTTCGGCAGCTGCCTCTACTCTTTAGAGTCTCAGCACTCTCATTAGGCGATACAACATCAGGTGAGCGCTTTTAGCTTCATTCACATATTGGAGGTGGAAGCCGTCTCCTGACGAAAGCTGGACTTGAGATCGAGCGTTTGATTATACGACAATCTTCCATCTTCTTTTTTCGCTGATGCGTAGTTCCGTTTATAGAGTGTCTACGATTGTCTATTGTGATGGTACACACATTTATTGTAGGTACAGCTGCTAAATTGGATTACAAGTTCTGGACTCACAAGGGAGGTGCGATTAGTCGAAGTGGCCTTTCCAAAGTGAGTCTTATATCACTTTGAAGAGCATCAAACGATGGTTCCACATGTGATTTCACTATCTACCAAGCGCCTCTGCACGCCGAGTTGTGAATATATTCTTGTTGCGAAAAATGATCGCATAATTTATCTAATCATATTAGTTCCATGAGAAAAGGCCACTTCGACCAAACGGACCTCCCTCGTCACAGGATATTAGGTTGGCCCGAAAGTTCTTTCGCAGCACATTCAAAAATTCATAACTTTTAGTCTTTTCAACTAATTTGAGTGTTTTCTTTTTTATCTGAAGGAGCAAGTCATTTTCTTCATAGTGGTGCTTTAACGGCTTTCTGCTGAGCATATGCTGCATGGATATAAGCGGTGGAAGAAAATTACTCAAATTTTGAATATTCTGTGTAGGGTCATAAAAAATCTGAAATTTACAGTAAAGTCGGAGCAGTCAGTGTTATAGGTTCTTTCGCCAGCTCTTTCTAAATGTGCAAAGTTTGCGCTGATTGAGCGTCTCTATGAAAAGTTATGATTTTCAAGCTAACAATACAAAAGGGCGAATTTGATTTTGGCATTTTCCAAAAATCATCACTTTCATAAAAACGCTCAGTCACCACAATCTAAATCAAATATTCTCACTGTTTCACTGTAGTGGTACTACAACGAGTCTGCGCTTGCTGTCCATTCCTCCATCCTTAGCGCGAAGCGAGAGAAGTATCGAATGTCTGCGATACCCAAATGTTGTCTCCGATTCAGGTATTACGGAGAGTCGTTCTTCACGGTTTCTACGGACATAAAAACCATATAAACCATCATGTAAATAATCGGCAGCTGCCTGATGCACATCAGCTGAGCTGAAACACTTTAAATTCTATAGAAAACGCGGTACTTGAGCTCTGCTTGGGCAGTGCTCATCGACTACGCTTAGGTAGTCTAGCGTTAATCATTAGGTATCTATCGCGCTATTTCCATTCCGACTCATCTCTTTTTAGGGTGGGGGGAGGGAAGGGTGGTAAGTTCCTAACATTCAAGAAATTATTGCATCAAGTTCACCTGAGAGTGGAAATTCATGCACTTGCAACGGTTTAGTCACAACTTTGCTAGATTATGAAAAAGACATTATAGCAAGAAGATCAAACTCCCAACGAAAAAGAATTTGAAGATCAAAATATCCGGAGACTGGATGCGGTTGCAACAGTTTTCATAAATTCCTAAGATGTGCTATGTTTCAGATTTCATAGGTAGATGTAATTCAAATTTGCTGAATAAGGTCTCGATGACACCAGAATATGTCAAAATGAGTTCTAGTGGAGCTATGAGGTTCTAACGACTGCTTCATAAAACCCATCCCAAAAGTAAGTACACATTTTTCGATCGTTAATAATTCTCTTTCCACTGCGTCTCTTCCTTAGCTCTACGCACTATTCAGTAGAGAAGGCTTCAGGTTAGATTAGCAGTAGAGAAGGAATCAGCCTTAGCCCTTCATTATTCTAGGATTACGGTAGCGTTCCAGCATACAGTAGCGTAGTGATATAGGTCGTAACAAAAAATTCCAAAAAAAAATCTGGAAAGCTGTGAAGCAGTATTTTCAGACATTTCATCAAACAATTATATATGAGTTTTTAAGAATTTAAATGGTCCAATTAGCATTTTTGAAAACACTGAAGAAAGTGTCGTTGCGATTTATCAGTCATAACTCATGAAAAGAGCTTTACGGTAAAGTGCGAACTCTATATAAATAATCTACTGCTCAGCTTAGCCTAATTATATAGTTTTCGGCCCGTTGAGTATCTATTCTGGGGAAGTCTGTACCACTGACTCAATGGGAAGAGAGTTATTATCGTTCAAAAAGTTTACTTCTATTGAGACACCCTGTATAGTGCTTATCCATTAAATTAGTGAGTGATGAAGAAATTTTTTGAATTTGCAGGTGGTCAAAGCGATCAAACATCATAATTTGGCCTCTCTTTCACTTTCCGGTACAGCTTCGGATGCTCTACTCTCAATTTATGATCAGCAATACTACCTGGCGCGCTTTCTCATAAAGACATATTATGGAATGGCCGCAAAACATCTTACCTATAAACCTTATACATCAGCTTCGAGCAGAATGCTACAGAAAATGGAGGCCGAACAGCAGGGGAGGGACTGGGATCGAAATGCAAAAATTCAAAAATCCTGATGTGTAAGAGTGTCAAGTGAACAAAACCTAAGAAGGGAATATCAAGTGAACAAAACCTAAGAAGGGAATAAAGTTTTAATCTAGCAGTAATTGCTAGGAAAACGGATGCATTAGGTATGGCTATTTTTGTCCTACTTGTACATTCAACTACCTGCTCCAATAAGCGGGGTGTACAGTTCATGTTAATCACGTGCTCCCTTTTCCGTAAGCGCAGTGAGTTTCGCGCCACGTTCGCGCGCGTATGGCTCTGGCATTCAAATTGGCCTTATCGATTGGCGGTCCGCGCGCAGGGCCCTTGCGTTGCGCATGCGTAGGTCCCATGCGAAAGGGAGTACATAATTGACATCGACTGTAGGCCCTTTTGAACCCGTCGCGCGCGATGCCCGTTTCGCGAGGTGCGGCCCCGCTGGCAAAGCTAACAAGTCGCATTCACAGTCAACGGGGAAAATTTTTAGTCAGAAGTATGCAGTATACCTGTGCAAAAACCTATCATCATGTTGGACACGAAAAATGTACAAAAATGATGCTCCGTCCTACTCAAAGCCTTGTCAATGGCAGTGGACATGTTGACCAATCAGAGGTACGCCGTGATAGCGAGCGGTTCAAAAGGGTCGTTTCCCCAATAAGCGCTCATAACTCCTCGTCGTTAAACGTTCTGCGGATAGGGAAGGCATTGGAATCAGCATTATGCCCTTCAATACGGTAAACATCCCATCTAAAAAGGCCACTTCAACTAAACATGCATTCCTTGTAAGTAGCAATGGAAGATAACATAAGTAATGCATATTAGAGACAAGATACCTGACTCTTTACTAGGTTAGGTTGTGGTGTTAGGAGGTAACCTACCAATTCTAACCCATGCCTGCTAACAGTCTGCGCCAAAGATTTTTCACATCTGTTCCGTGTCGAGCTGTATCTCCGCACATCACACACTGTCTTTTCACCAACCGTATAAACATATGGCTGGCATTTTCTGTCAGCAGTCAGTCATGTCAGTCTGGGTCGCGCTTCTACTATTCTATCAATATTCACAGATTTCATACGCTCAGTCAGAAGATCCAAGAAACGCTGGAATCTATATTCGAATCAACCAAAATGCCGTGGATTACCTATCGGGTAGCTTTTTTTCATTCCATCTCGAGATAGCGCAAATAATCTGATTTTTTTAGATCTTGCCAGTGATGCATTCCCTCAAATCTTGAATAATATGCATATACCCGACATCAAAATCAGCGCCGCTGAAATTACAAAAATCCACATCAACAGAGTCGAAAGACCGGAGATTGACGCAAAATTCATTGCCAATAAGGGTAGGCTGTACAAAAATTGATAAGTAGTAAGTAATAAGTAGTATAGTAATAAGTACTGTGATTTGCTCAGGAGTACAGGCAAATGTTAGCCTACCTTTTCTACGAACCAGTGCTGACTGTACCGTGAACGCATTTTTTCCAATTGATGGTGAGTGGTCTATGCTCTCATTGACCTTGATTTTTTTTGAAAAAAAACTTTATCTGGGATGTAAATGATCTGCTTTCATACCAATCTCTGTCCAGCAACAACTCTTATGATCTTGGATTGACCTTTCATGGTTTTCTACATGTACGCTTATGAAATGCTTTGGGTTAACAAAAACATTTTAACTTTCCCAAATGCTGGTTTTTCTGTTCTCAAGGAGCGATATACATCAAGATCTACAGTAATGTTACAAAAAATCAAATATCTTTTGCCAAGGTACCGATCCCCCCCCCTTCCGCTTGCGTTAGCTCTCGTGCTAAAATGATGATAATGCGAGGTGAAAATATGTCATTTGTAATGCTTCATCGCTTTTAACAGCGGTAGAAGTGGAGCTTTTTTTCTACGTTGCGTCCAACTTTGTTTGAAAAAAAAACTTTTCACATTATGGCCTCTACAGTGGGCAAAGAATTATGAATCCGGCAAATTTGTAGCGCATGATGTTCTATGCGGGACCACCCGCATAGAACATCATGCGCTTGCAAAATTCCTCTAACCTATCTGAGCTCGGGACAGTTTTGTAACTTATTTTAGAAGGGGTCCTTTGCTCCTTAATTTGAGCTTGACTCTTTGATTTTCTACCACCTAGGTTAGCTAAAGATATGAGCTAATTTGACAACACTAGTAAAATAGTACGGCTGTCCAATAAGTTCGCGGTGTTGCAATTTTCTTTCTCGTCGAGTGAAAATTTTGAGAGGAAACATGGCTTCGGACGTTGACGTAAAAACCTCGGACATTTGCTAATAAAAGAGAGGAAATGAAGGTTTTTTGTAGTAAAACATGATTTTCATATTTGTTGTATAGTCTCTAGCGAAATTGAAACTTTGCAAAAATAGCATTAAGTTTGTTTATGAACTTAAATCACTAAAAACTACTCAGCTCCATTTTCAAGCTTTAAAGCCGCTAAATTTAACTTCTGCCGTCTTCTAATTCCTAGCATCCCATATCACAGCGTCAGAAATTCGTCAGAACGATAATGTACGAATTTTCACATCTGGGGGAAAATGCAGGTCATTGTTTTGAGCTTTGGAATCTCTCAGTTACCTGACCTGGCAGAAACTCACGAATATCAATTTTAAAGTGTACATGTGTCTCATCACGATTACCTATATTGCTATATGTTGCTCCAGAATTTCGTGAAAATGTTTGTGCACTCACTTGGTTAGGATACTGAGGCTGATGTCTGCCACACACATAATTCGTTTACAACCCGTTCATAAATAATATACAAAAAGGTCACTGGCTCACTCATCCTTGGGAACTCGGTGTCTTTCACTGTTCCGAAACTGCGAATATTACGTCGTAAAGAAAAGGTTAATGATGCTAGAGATGGAATCGAAACTGCACTCCTCAAAGACAATGCCATTTCTCTCGTTAAGGAAGCTTCATTGTCGAGCTGCATAACTTCACCATCGACTTGGAACTGCACTTCACAAGAAATGAAACACTTGGAACAAATGTGATAGAGGTACAAATTCTAACACAACTAGTGAACCAGTAATCTAAAGGTGCTATTTGGATTCCCGCTATTTGCAATTTTTTGAATTGAGTTAACTATTCTTTATATATTAGATCTTTATATATTAAATTTTAGGTTCCTCACTGTGAAACAACACATTCTGATGTCAAGATATTGCTCGAAGAAGATTCCCTCTTAGTTCTTATCCATGGCATGCTGCAAACTGCTGTGAGTTTTCCCAACATGACCGCTAAATGGGATGATCTCATACAGTGTCATAGTTTTGCGTAAACGTAGAGTATAACATTATTAAATGTTGATCTCCTCCCTTGATATCATTCTGCATCCAGTTGACCAATCAGAGTTCTGTATGCTGATAAAGGTACGGTTTGGGCTAGGAATGAGTTAAGTGAGATTGCGGAATTGCGCTGGAATGAAGCAGTGGCGCCAAAATTTTTAGGTCTAGGTTGTGCCAGAATTTTCCCAAAAATAGAAGTGGCATCAGTCCATTTTTCTTAAAATATTTCTCAAATTTTTAGCGAGCCTGTGTGTCTACAGAGGTACATATTTGGAAAAAAATGCTGCGAGTGAAATCAAGATGACTATTTTGGAGTATTACTGTTAGAATTCTACACCGCCAGTGGTAGACGATAATTTTAACAAAATTTTTGAAAAAAATTTTCTAAAAATTTTTAAGCTGATAACCCATATGAAGCTCCAAACTTGCTGCTACCAACGCGCTTAGTAATACATTCATAATCGAGCTTCATTGTAGGTTAAAAATGTCAGTTTTTGACTGGATAGGATTGTGTGATAAAAACTCGGGATTGGAAAACGGATTCGTAATGGCGATATAGCACTTCCACAATTCTATGAAAGAATGATTGTTGCCAAACCTTCCTATCTTAATTAATAGATACCTTATTTCTATCTATCATAACAAGACCTCGCTGATGAACTCGTCCAAATTCCGAAACCTTTGCAGATTTCTAATGCAGTCAAAACGAAGATTTGCGAGACTATTCTGGATGCTGTCAAGTTCGTCGAAGCGCAAGATATACAGGTCTAATCTGAATGTTTTCTTTCTCTCTGTAATCGATAAAGACATCATTTCAGTCTCTATCTGCAAGTAATTTTACCTCCACAACCCCAGCACTTCCATTAGCAGAGGAAGTGTTCAATCCAGCAGAATTTGGTGCAAGTTTGTGTGAGGTGAGAGTTTCTAAGACAATCGAACGATCAGTAGACCAGTTGTAAATTATTGCTTCAGCTGGAAAAAATTGGACCAGATACAGAACCCGAGGTTGAAACTACTGACAGTGCCCCCAGCCCATGGGATGCCAACTTGGACGTCGTCTATCCGCCAAGATTCAGTGATGAGGTTAATATAACTCTTATACGGAATCTAAACCATCAACATTATCAAAAAAATGTTATTTCCGTTCAGGAGGTAGTGTTCGGTGTAGATGGTGGAGTACTGTACAATGGCATAGCCGCTGAGAACGTTGATTTTCCAACACTTCTCAATGTCAGCGTACTCAGGGAGAAGGTAAGGATTGAAACTTTTGTTTTCTGTAAACTATCGGCTTTTTGCAGATGGTTGGAATTCTGCTATCCGATTCTATTCCAAACACCCTATTCTCACATATTTTTACAAATGGCATGGGCAATGTCCATCACAGGTAAATTTATTTTGATGATCTTCCTAAGCCTTGTGAGTTTTACAGTGTCAAAAAGCGTTGTTGAAATTTATTTGGTCAACAAATTTTCATGTTCTAAAATTCAAAAATTTGAAAATCATCTTTGCTCACTTCCTGCCAGAAAGGCCCAACAGATTTTTTTTTTGAACTTCGCATCAAACAGTTCATCCTTAGAATTTACGTGTTGTGGTATTCAGTTTGAGAAAATTGATTGTACTCATTTCTGCCAAAAAGAAAAAATTCGAAGCTTTGGAAACTTTTGATTCATTGATTCAAATTACTAAGTTATGGTATCATGATTTCATAAGCTACTTATTTACTGACAGAATTTTTTTTCAGATTCGAGCCACGGCACCTTCCGAAAGCGGTGCGAAAACTCGCAAACATGATGTGCTCCAAATGTTACCTTGACATAACGGCTAATCTCACTGAGTTCGAAAAACTATTTTTCCTGGATTTTGCTGGGGCTATAAATTGAAACGCTTCCAGACAGCCCCGAGTCGAAATCGATGCCAAGCAGGGTGCTCGAGTAGAATTGGCCGGAAATATTTTGATTCAATTCCGAGGAAGAGAGGATTTGCATAATCTGATCTATGCCAGTACGAAACTGCATGTTACGGTAAGGTTAACCTTCAAATTTTTAACAAAGCGCTTCTTTGAAATAAACCGCCATTGAAAAAAAAGCGCGCTCCAAACTAATAGTGCATTAGCCGTTGCAGAGAATTTATTCGAGGAGCGGGGGGGGGGCATTTTTTAGTTAGAAATATTGGGCTCTACACACGAAAAAAATCATTAAAGTTTTCCAAATTCACACGCTTATAAGCTTACGCTAAAAATTCTGTCTAAGGTTCTTTGGCGTCAAAATTTGATGTGTATAAGTTGTTCAAGATGTTTTCAGAAAATAACAATTGAAAACAGCTTGATTGCAATTTTTCTTTCCTTTCCCCTCCATTCTCTTCGCTCTATTTCGTCAAAGCAAGAATAAAGTTTGTTCTAGCAAGTGCTTCGCAGCGTCCAGGTCAAATCCAAGCTCCTCTGACTACTACTAGCCTGAAATATAGGGCCCCAGGAGAGGGGCATCTGCGCTTGTCCGGTCCTCCAGCAATGTCTCTGAATGGAAAAAAATAGACCTCGAGCCCGCGAATTTGCCGTCAAGCTACACCCACCCTATCAAGCTCTGTCCTCCCAACTACTAAAACTCGTCTGTGTTTTCAGTATAGGGCTACTAAGATGGGGCTTTTGAGGACTCTGCACATTTTGCACTTCCTAACCATAATCAATACTATGGAGAGGCCCCAAAACGTTAAAAAATGGAAGGTGAAATTTTGGGTTGACGATGTCTAAAGACTTGATATTCTGAAGTGGCGCAAGGAATTGTTTTTGAGATATCTGTTGTCATCGCAATGCGGCTGCCGTTTATAATGTTTGTTTGTGACGTGATTCATTTGCGCGAGATCTTCTGGGCAAAAGAAGCCCTTAGATAAAGCACCAGTGTTCAACACACCCGATACTAGTCGACCGCAGGTAGTGAGTACAGAAAACACCGATAGAAGATAACAACACAACAATGAGCGTACTGCATCCGAAAACAAGTGCTGGTGACTCACCTCAGAAAAATTTGCTCTGATGAGGGCAGAAGGTTTTGAAACAGCAAGTGACTGCCTAAAGATGCTGATGTCGTTGAAAATTTGGGCAGTATTTTTGAAGCTGTCTATGTGATATTTTTGCCATATTGTTGCCAGAGTAGATCCCTTTTCTAAATGAAACAAGCTATTTTTCTTTTCATAGCAAACTTAGAGCACTATTTGATAGAGCGAAGCAAACTGTCTGAAATAAATACCAAAAATCCACCCAAGTCGTAACAGTCGAGGAGTTGGAGCCAAAATTTTAAATTTAAAAAATTTAAATTTTTTCGGTTATTCTAAAAATCGGATCTTCTTCATGGCCTACGGATTCAACTTGGTCACCTTACAGTGACACATACATAGCGGTATTCAAAGATGCATTTGCTGGATTTTTCCAGGGCCCAAATAAGAAAATTAAAAGCTCGAAAAAGCAAAAATGTCACTTTGTTCGGGTGTTCTACGTTAAACTTGGTATGTCACGATTACCAGCGCACCCATGAAGGTTTATTTTCAAGGTTGAGCTTGCTAAGGCTTATCCAATCCATATGTGGGAGGAACTGGGGCGGATTTTGCTATTTTTGACTTTCTTTTCTATGCATTTTTATGCTCGGAAGAAACAAAGAAATATATTTTTGAAAACTTCTATTGTCTGCTGTACCATGACCAAGTTGGAGGTCCATAGGAATTTTCTGAGAGGAAATCCGATTTTTAAGGTAGTTAAAAAATCTTGATTTTTTGGATGGACCTTTTGTGGCTATTTCGTAGCTCTTGCTTCGCTTTGTCGAATGATACTCCAAGTCTGCTAGGAAAACAAATTGCTTGATTTATGCGAAAAAGGAATTTGTTTATGAAACAACCTAATACAAATGTGAAGCACACAACCAATAACCTGCTCAGACGAATCACCGGAACTTCCGCAGGGCAAGCCAAATTTGCAGGAGTTCCGCAGGACTTTGTTCACTATTGCAAAAAATGAAAACGTTGAAAATCGGCAGTTCCGCGGGATTTTCATGCCAAAGCGGTTGAAAACCGGAACTTCCGCAGAACCTTCTTCAAAATCCTGCGGAAATTCCGAAAAATGCCAGAGGTTCAGCAGCACTTTGGCCTGCCCAGAACTTCCGCAGGACTTTGAATCTGTTCCCTCGTGTTGCCTCGCCAACAACTGGAGTGCATTATCGAAAATGTCAGCCGTAGTGTAGAGGATAGTGGGTCTCATAGTCACTAGAGTGAGGTTCAAATCTCGCTCCGGTGTTCTCTTTTGCCGTTGTGGTTGGCATTCTTCGGAACTTCCGCAGGACCTCATTTCGGAACTTCCGCAGCACGTTTACGGAACTTCCGCAGGTGACCCGGCGGAACTTCGGCAAGCGATCTGCGGAAGTTCCGGTCATTGTGGATAGTATTTTCGAATGTTCCCGGTATTAGAAAACTTGACAAATCCGCATTTCTAAACACTTTTAACTCTTTCCAGTAGTCGCTTAACGGATAATAAACATATTTAAGAACAGCATCAGGTCAAGTGCGATGATATAGAGTTTGTTAGGACTAACCTCATCAGTTTTGACCATGTCCCTTGAATTGTGTTGGTGCTCATGATCGTTTCTTTACTCACATTTGAGTAACTTACCGAACACCGAAGGTTATTGGTTTTGGTTTGATAGTATGGGGAAGCATATAGGAACATAAAATCTATGTAAAATGGAGATTATTTACTATCTGGTAGTGCTTACACTCTCTAGCAGGATGTCTATCTCAGCATCAACATTTCAGCTGAAACCAACAGTTCGACATTCACGTCTCTACGCTGATGTAGCGCTCACTCAAGTCGACGTAAAAGTCTTCGATGTGGGTTTACGGAAATTATACTTCCTTTAAGTATATGGCAAATAACAAAAACAACACTTCAGCTGGCTGTTGGCGGTGTACTGGCCAGACCAATTGAGAAGATTGTCTCCTTGATAGTGCCAAGAGTGTTGTGGCCACAGGTCAAGAAGCGATTGCGATTTGCACTGAATAAACGAGGTATTTTTTCCATTTAGGTCATCTTATTACCCCTCCAACGACTAAGGACAAATCAAAATAAAAAATCGGTAAAAGTTTGGACCCGGGATTCAATGAATTTGCCTTTATGATTTTTCTCAATTATTTACTTCTAACTTTTCTGATTTTTTCTTGATTTTTCATAGATAAAACCCAATTTTTTCCATTTATCCAAATCACTTCCCCCCCCCCAGTGAAATCGATATTTGCAGTTTACGTTTTTTGGACGGTGTTGACAACTGTCTAGAACATAGTGCAAAAACCTTGAAGCTGTTTATCGTGCTATAAAAGCTGTTTTCTATTTTCAGGCATCCAACTACCCGTAATGTGTGGTGTCGAGCTACAGGACTTGGACCTTTCATACATTGACCATGCAATGGTTGTCAACACCAATTTCATATTTGATTTGCCATTGTTTGTGAGGAAGTTCAAAATTTATCTCGTCAAAAAAGCACAGCTGTCGAAAAGCATCCCTACTTATGTTGAACTGTGAAGGAATTGTTATCGTGTGAAATGAAGAGTTCTACAATCGAAAACTGTCACAGTTTTAGGACGAATTTTTTCGGAAAATGAGAAAAAATAGATTGGAATTATAATTTGTGCACTTCTTAGACCTCACTATTGCCGTATACAGACATCTATGTATACTATGAAGGTTCGCTGTTGACTAATTTCTTCTAATTTTTCAGTTTTAAAAATTCGAAAGGCTTTTACAGGTTGATTATGATCATCGACACTGTAGATCAGTAGTGTTTATCGAATTTGAAAGAACTTCCAAATTTTGTAGCCAAAAAAATTGAGGGTGTACTGATGTAACCTTCCAGAGTATCACACAGACCGGAGAAGGGGGGGGGGGAGCCTCCGAGATTGGGTGCGGAATTTTTGTAACTTGCTTACATGAGTTATAAAAATAATTTTTGAAACTTACTTACATGAGTTATAAAAATGTGCAACTGACTTTTTCATAGTTGTAAGTGATGGTATAATCACTTTTTAAAATTTTTAAAAACTCAATTAAGCCTCATAAAAAAATTTTTCGTACCCGCGAAAATTTTTGCAAGCATACCAAAAAGTTTTTCGGAGTGCTTGGCTAACGCCACGCACCTTCATCGGAAAATTTTTTTAATCGCACCTCCCCTCCGAACGGAAACTCTGGGTACGTCACTGATGCATACGCATATTTTTATGGATCTTCAGTGTTACTATTATGAACCTCAGCACAGACTGTATGTACTGGTTAAATTCAGCCTGTAACATAGAGTATAAGGAGACTTTGGAATTGTAAACAACTGTAGATTTCAGTGACAACATGAATGCATGAATAATTCTTTTGATAAATCGTTTGATAAATATATGAATCGTAAAATTAATAAATCGTGTGTCTGCTATGATATGTCTGCTTGCAGAAATAGCATGGATTTTTAACCAGGCAGAAAATATCAGTTTCTAATCTTTTTGTTAAGGGCATGCATATATTTAGAATAAAATGTTCAAGATAGCACGTTGTTGATAGATTAGAATACCTCTTAGTGTTGGAATTCCCTCACGGATTTTGTTTTTTGATCAATATACTTATCGTAAAACTCTACAACGCGTTGTTCAAGTAGTACGATCTTCTGTTGTTAGAGGAACCTACAGCAGACTATAGCAAATCAAAGAACCAGCGAACACAAAAGATCATTGAGTCTGCAAGAAAATCGTCCATAAATCATTGTTACTTCAGAATTTATTGAAGAGTATTTTGGTTAACACACATGCATAGTGCAAATTAGCTAATCGTCAACAGGACTGGCACTGTCATTGTGGGCACGTCTGCTGTAAATGACGAGCGATTGAAGGTCACTAAGTGATGAGTTGTGACAGCTAATCGTCCATGCACTATGATCGGTTGGTCAACAACGAAGAATTGCCAGTTTGCTGCAAGTCTTCTGTGTTAAGGAAAGATCAATCATGAACAGATTTTCACTCTATGTCATTTTCCATTATTTCCAAGATTCCCTCGCACACGTAGTCGCGTACCTGGAATGGAAAAAAAAGATGGAAATCGACGCGATTCCTCAAGCATCGTTTTTTTTCTATGTTCATTTATTTATTTATTATAATGCGTAGGAAAGTCCCTATGGAAAACAAGAACAAAAAACAAAAATAAAAACAAAAAACGCAGGAACGTGAAACAATAACATCAAACTTCTTCATACGATTGCAAATAGCTTTGTAGAATATGTTTAAAAGTAGAAAGTTTCACCGCGAATGCCCGATCTCTTACAAGCCTATCGACACCATGTGAGACCCGACATGAGAAAAAAATTCTCTCACAGCAAGCCTACATCCAGGAATAATAAGCTTCCTCGAACTCCTCTAGTAGTAGAGGGCTTAGTATCAGAATAGGCGCTTCTATTAAGGCCTATTGACCAAAGATTATTTTATGGGCCATTATTAGATCAAACTTTCGTCTTCTGCACGCAAGAGTAGGTGATCCCAAGTTTCTATAACGCGTAACACTGTTTGGAATCTGATCGTGTAGGAACCCAACAGTTTTAATCATAAGCTTATGCGTGCAGCTATTTTGTATTTCCCCCAGATATCGAACAGTTTTGCGCTTTGAAGGGCTATATATAACAGTTACATACTCATGCATAAGCCTTATGAAAGTTATACAGGCTTTCAAAAGGACAACAAAGTCCAGAGTAAATGCTACATTTCATTTTGAGTTTCTTTTTTCGTGACTCTCCTCACAATGAGTGTAATGAGGGTTAGATACATTCGTAACTTTTGGCTTCAGATGTGTTCCAAAACCAGGTGAGACCAGTTTCTCCTATAGAAAAAGCTGTGTTAAACGTATTTTACAAGGTGACTGACTGGTGGATCATAGTGCAGCAGAATCCTGAATGTCAAGCTTGATTTGCTAAAAGCGGGGGTGCATGAATGCAGAAAATTCCAAAATTTGCAGGTTTTCAACTGAGGAAATCGAGAATATTGTTATATGCGTTGTCAGTCAAGGCTCGCGAAAAAAATTGCTAGTTAAATTCCAATAATAAGCTCCAGCCATTCTGGAAAAGACACGCAGTCACATACTCTTCATGCAAGAACTTCGCTCTGTTTACTGTTGTTTGTTTCTGCAAACTCAAAAATCCGAAAAAATAGGGAGCTCAACAATGCCAAAAACACTGCAAAATTCTCTATTTGGACTTCGCTCAAATTCAGTTTGAACAGAAATACAAAAAGGAAGAAGCAACGCTGCTGCGAGCAGTCGGATCATCTCGTCAATTTTTATTTGCAATTTTTGATATGCACTCAGATATGACGGAATAAACAAAAGGATCGTCTTATTGACTTGACAATGAAAGAATTCTGAAATCCGCAAGGACCAAATGATAAAAGGCTGTCCACCGACATAAGTGAAAAGACACCAGAAAACGATAAGGTGCCATGAAAACCTGAAGGGAGTAAAGAAAGAAGCGCCCTAGGTACTATTTATGCCTTTTCTCTTCATCCACCCTAAATAGGGCCAAGAAGTGGATTTCCGTGTTAATTTCGCGAAAATGCACGAAATCCCAATGTTTACGAACTGTGTCGAGTATTAGAGCACAACACGCGCGCTAACTGACGGCTTGTAAGATTACAGGGTGTTTGAAAATCGTGGCCTAAAGTACTTCCAATTCGAATTTTGACGCGCTTTTTGTTTTATTGTGCTCATCAGACCTAAATACCATAAATTCACTAAAATCAAGTTTCTTCGCGGTTTCTTTGATTTTTTATTAGATTGAAACACATCAGTATAGCTTTCCAAACCTCTTTCCTTAAAACGCTTGTTATAAAAAAGGAAACATAATTCGCAGGAAACTTGGTATAACTTCTGAAAGCCCTTTCCTTAAGGTTTCTTAGATATGCTTTTATTTCCGTAGAAGTAAGTTCTTTTTGAAATATCGTGCCTTGAAAGACAAGAAATCTACCTTCAGGAATTTTTCGTCAGAAAGTCCAGCACCGAAATTTTTATATTTTATCTTCAAAACCTTTGCAAGCGTGCAAAATTTTTAAAAACAAAAGCGAAGGTCAGGGAGTCGTGCTACAAATACATGTTGAAGTAAGAGTTCCAAAACTTTTCAAAGTGAAAAATTTCAACGCGAACTGGTGCCGCTACTGTCTGCTGTGATTCAGTACGTATATAGAACAATCTACATTAGTAAGCTACTGAAGAACTTATGTTATATAAAGAAATAGTAGATTAAGTACTATTTGTAGCAAAAAAATCAAAAGCTGTTTTCCTTTCCGGCGTTGAAAAAAAAAGAACAAATCAGATAACGCACTCTTCCGCCTCTCCAAGGAAGCTGAAAAAATTGTTTACTTTCACATTTTTTGGGGTATCTTGAGGCAAAAAATATTTTTCTTTGTTGATTCAGTGGTTTCTAGGTTTGGCGAACACACTTAGCAGAAACCGAGTTAGCGTTCGCAGTTGAAGTGCTTAAGGACACGAACTTTTCAAACACCCTGTAGAACCTGCTTAATTCCAGTAATTTTTCCTTGTTTCTCTGTCTCTTAGATTTCCTGGGTATGTATCGTTGATAGTGCACATTTCTACAGATTTTTAGGCTAGAAAAGATTTTTCCGAGGAGTTAAGATGTCGTCGGTTTCCGCGCATAGTGCGCAAACTCACATATTATAATTATTTACAAATGACATGACATCGCTTACACATCCCCAATTTCACGCAAGTGACGGTTCACTACCCAACTCTATCGACTATCAGATACAGAAAACAAGTTATCCTTCTCCGTTTTGTTACCCTCGAGGGCAGTCTAACTGACATCATGTTTGTTTATATGGGACAGTCACCCCGGGTTGATCGTTGAGCTGCGATCGATGCGTGAAATGGACCTTGTACCAATTGCTTTTGTGTTTCTTTAGCCTAGTGAGCAGCTTCGGCAACTATCTGGTCGAAGAAGCGCTTTGTTTACACTAAGGTTGATGATTGAGGCTGTTGTGAGAATTTTGTTGACAGCTGATTACGTAAACAAAAGCAAAATCAAGCCATAAACAACGTTGCAATATAAAAGCGTCGAGAAATCTCGAAGATATCGCAACACATCTCAAATTTATCCTTTTTCCCAAGCTCCTACTCTAAAAAATATTTAATTACGTCCCTAGAATAGTACATTTCAGCACAGCGATTTACGTTCCTCAAATCTATTACCCAGACACACTTGATAGTTGTTTTTCCCGGGGTTCCACCCGAAGCACTTTTTCTGTTTATTTTTATGCCCTAGAACACATCAGGCAACTCCTTAGGTTCTTTGCCTATAGTTCAGCGCTGAACTCCGATCAGTTCAACGGTAGCAAACATGTACTATGAAAAACATAGTCTGCTTCTTTGGTGCTTATAATAGACCCCTTCTGGCGCTACTTTGCTCGGTTTTCATCCATTTATATCTTTCCGTTTTTCAAAGGCTTGCTTATCTCTTCTCATGCTCTATTTTTGTACTTTAAAAAGAGTGTAAATATGCTGAAAAATATAGATCGTTACGACCAGAATAATTTTTCGTCGTTTTGATTGGAGAAAATAATTATTCAGTATTAGTGGTTGGCTAAAAAAGAATTTCAACATTTTTGCGGCTCCTATGTGTGCTGCAAACATATTTTTGCCTGGTATTTGGTATCTTTTGAAAGTGCACGATGAGGATTGGAACATAAATTTTGCTGGTATCATTTCTTTAAAGAAAGAGCCCAAGGAACTAAGGCACTTATTTTCATTACTATGTGCATAGACGAGAGAAATTTGTTTTTTTCTATTTCAAAGGAGCTCAAAGTGGTACTAGATCACAATTTTTATCGTTCGTTATTCATCAGTTATTCGTTAAATACAGAAGACTAATGGTATTTGAACACCAAATCACTCATCTCTACATCTATCACATCCTGAAAACGAAGCTTAGAAAAGCCAAAAAACACTAAGCTTTTGGAAATTTAGCCTTCTTCACTGATAGTAGAAAATTCCGAGTCGTTTGTTGATAGTTAAAGCTTTGAACTACTTCCCAAAAAATCATGTATAAAAAGCAACAAAATTTTTTATGGAGATTTTGCCTGCCAACAATTATTTTTTGCCAATTCAATACGTTTTTTCTACTCGCTTGTTCCCCGCGGAACAATCAGCCTTTGTTGCGTTTGACGGTTGGTCTGAAGGCGTAAACAAACATTTGGCTTTGCTTGGAAAATTGCTAGAAATTGTTTCGATTTGGGCCTTTTGGGTAATTTCGGAAGTGACTAAATGAACCCTGAATACTAAGATGCGAATACTTTACAATAATGGAAATTTAAAAGATTTGCATATTCCCTCTCGCTAGACTGACGCTAAGACCAGTTTAACAAAGTCCTTAGTCAGAAAGATCCCTACAAGTAAGTTATTTTCGTAGCTATTAGAGTGGAACAGAGCCGTTGATCCCATGTCTAGACAGCGTTGTTCAGGTGCAAGTGTCAATTGAATTATGTCAAATAGTCGTTCCACTATGCATAAATAGGCAAGAATAAAAAAATCGCGTTCCCTTCACATTCAAGAAAATTCCTTGAGCTTAACTCTTTCAACTCTTTTAATACCATAGAACAAAATTCAACCTATCTTTTTATTTGTCAATAGTCAAGATAATCAGCAACTACTCCTCTGTAAACGAAAATTAGAACTACATTTGTAGATAGCATTGTTAATTGTAACCTACAAAGCTATAAATGGCAAACTACTCGTTTTGGCATGTGAGTAATTTACAATTCTAAAATTAGACTTTTTTCTGAAAATCACTACCACTAATAGGGATCCTACCATGGACCTTTAGTAATGAAATTAGAATGTAGATTCAGAATATTGGAGAAAAGCAAGCTCTTATTTTTTTTACGTTGTCTCCCAACTCAAAACAAACTCTCGGATGTCTTCATTGGCTTGTTTTTGGGAATATCAGAATATAAAAAATTTTGAGCAGGGCGAGATAAATTTATTCAAAATTCTTGAAAACAGGTTGATGAACATGCCCGAAGGTTTTGAATTAGGGGCAAAGACAGAAAATAAAGATATTTAGCTATACAGAATCATCATCATGTACGTAACCATCATTTTAAATGTAGCATACTTGCTTCGTATTTTCTGTTCTTCGATTCCCTTTTCAAGAGATTGTCAAGTTTTACATTTTTCTCAACTCACAAATTAGTAATTCCATGAAATACGGAAAAAAAGGTTTGGAAGACGTGCAGCATTCACAGTTCCGTTACCTCCGAAAACCTGTTGTTCAGTGCTGCGTATACAAATACAAATACAAAAAACAAATGCAAGCTAAAATGATTTTTCTCCCACCAAAACAGTCATGAGAAAATATCTCTTTTTTTTAGTTATTCAAGGGAAAACTTATGACCAACCAATAGAAAGGCTTTTCTACTGCTAATGCTCTTATAATATTGATTATTTTGTTATTTGTAGTTATCCATGTGCCTCAAATTTGCCAAACTTGAACTAAGTCCTTAAGCTGCAACAATCATCAATCAGCTCATACTCCTTTAGGCAAACGGAATTCGATGATGTTACAGCATGATCCACTTAGTTATCTTGAAGATTTGCATAAAACACGCATGGGTAGCCCTAAGAAACTTATTTTGAAGGTTTGCATGAAATATGCATGGGTTGCCCTAGGATACAACTTGTTCTGATTATAACTTGATGGGTAGTACTTCTACCATTCAGATGAACATGACAAGAGTTCGCAAAATTATGCCATTTTTGGCCAACCAATCTTGACCCACTTGCAAAAACAACGAAAAAAATATTTTTTTGCAAAAATCGATAGTTATATACTTCCCTTGTTTTTTTGCGCTGTTGTGGAGAGCTCTCTTTTGCTTACCACGCATGCCACATGCCATGGCGATGTTATTCGCATTTGCACTTGCATATTGTTTATCCATGTGACCGTCTACGATGACTGCAGTAGTAGAGGAGCTCCATCGGAGACCCAGAATGTGAAACACAGGCAGGGCCCGATTCTGTATCCCCCCCCCCTTCTACTAGCGCTTGTTTTCGTCTACACATACAGCACACAGCAGCAGCCCGATGCCACCGTGTGTCGATGGTGGTTTGGTTCGTCGCTTTTTCCGCCACTTGTTCCATTCGCATGTTATGCGGTCCTGACGTGCGTTTGCTCTACCTGAGTTGTCCTAATCGCATTTCGAGCACTTCACTTCACTCAATCTCCAATGTTTAGTTCTTATGTGTCAAAGATCCATTGCATAGTTTCCATTGTTTATAGTTTAATTCGGCTAAAACTTTAAATAGAAAAGTTTTGACCCCCTATCGCATCTACGGTTACCGACCGTATGGCTACCGTGTACATACTGTATACCTACCGTACCTTCCGTAATTTCGAGAAAACGCCCCACCTTGCGAAAAGAGCAGTGTGTTAAGCACCATATCCTTGTCAGCGTGTCGCGTAACTTCAAAAAACAAGCAAGAGAGAAATTCATAACTCTAAAAAATAGTGCCCACAAATATCAAATTTTGACCAACTCGTACCCGATCAGGAGTCTCCATTCCCGATCGGGTATAGTACACTCCTTTCATTTTGGCTGCTGAAGCCCAAAAGCTTCTTGCAAAGCCCTATAATAGGAGAGCAAGCATATTTACGTGTTTGCTAATTGCTACTTGCGTCTACCGAGTCAAATGTCTATTTTTTTCCAGAAACTTCTTGTCTACTCCCTTGAAACCTTAATCAAAGGCTTGTTTACTACTCTTCACTCACTCTCTCTCGCTCAACACACTAAAAAGGCTCGTATTGAGCTTGTTGTTTATGCTGTGCGTGTGTGCTGCGCTAGGCCGTCGTTGGCTGAGGACATCAAAGTCCAAACATCGCATGGGGATCGTAAACAAGAAGCACACTCGGCACATCTGGGCGTTACTGGGAAGAGATTTGCGTCTGAAATGTTCAGTGACATTTTTTCCTCCCGTCCAGAATGTGTTCCCTTAACTAGGGGTCACATTCTGAACGATCAAAGATCATGTTTAGTGGACCCGGACCTTACCCTTTCGGGGGCAGTGGGTGGTGCAATTCTTATCTGGGGCCCTGCTATTTTTGGTGGTGTTCCTTATCTTGAAACAACAATGTAAACATCTTTACTTTCCTTGTTATCGTTTAGGTACAAATAAAAGTAGACAACATGTTTTGATATTTACTGGCCCGTTAGTGGTATTGCAATTTGATGGGTTCAAAAAGTAGGGCGGAGGAGGAGGGGGGAGGGGGGGGGGGGGGGTATTTTTATTCAGCTGGACATTCAACTACCACGAACTGCCTTCTGATTTTTGGAACCATAGATATCATCCTCGTCGTCCCCCCCCCCCCCTCCCTCCCTCCTCCCCGCTGTTCCATCCCGTTCTAGACTGAAAAAAAGCCGGTTTCTACTACTTCCTGGTTTTTGTGATTCCTGCTTGCCTTTCTCGAACCATCCCCCCCCCCCTTCTACAACTTTCTGGGACCCACGATTCAGCGCCTCGTTCTCCCTTCGTCATCCAGACCTTGACCGAAAAAGCAGTATTACTCTTTGCTTCCTGCAACTTCTTTACCCATTTCCTCCTCCATCTACCCCCCCCCCCCCCCGCCCATCGAAAAGCGATGAGCTACAATTTTTTGGTTCATTATGATTTCAAAAATCCTCATAAGTCGTCATTTTCGTGGATTACTGCTAATTGTTCGCATGTTTTTCAGTACGACAAAGTAAATTTTTCCGATTTTCCTTTAAAAACTGACCTTTCCAACCAAAAAATACACCCCTTCACCCTTTTGTTTTTCCACAACTTGGAAATAACATAGATTTCGAAAAAGTATAGCAGTAATTTCGAATCTGCACTCTCTCACTGTCTCCAGCTTGTTTACTTCGCTGGGGTGGTCGGGGACCGCGTGATCATTGGAATTGCACACGTTGTTGACGGGCGTAGCGACCAGATCTTTGATCTACTAGGGCTTGGGCCGTTGCAAGGGGATGCCCTTTCGCTTCGATGACACACGCTTGCCGGGGTGAAACGGAAAGTTGATCGGGGGGGGGGGGGGAATAGGGGAGTAGCGCAGCTGTTTTTTTTTTACCTTCTCTCACCTCGAAATCTAGAAAAATCTACTGATAGGATAAGGTCCATTTACCAGCAATTTATTGTTGGTCATATGTACTTGTATTCTCAGGGAAGCTTACTGTAGGTATACGGTAGCCATAGACCGCCGAAAAATTACTGCTACTGTTGCGAAATCGGCGTGATATTTGTAATAATCCTGATATAGTTCTTCCGGAGAAATTCGAGCAAAATCTACGACTTTGAATTCTTGGGTCAAATTATTTGGACTAGTTCCAACTCCTGACCTCGTGGTTCTTTTTTGAAAAAATCACGCTTTTTTCCATTCTACTCGTGAAATTTTTATTTTCGTCGTTTTTTCCTATAATTAATCTCTTAAAAGCCAGTAATTTCAGAACTCTACAAATCCAATTGCGGAAGCACTCAAAACGTACAAATCGATTACTGAAGAATTTGCAGTATATATCGCTCAACTTATATACCGATTCTACAGAACTAATACAACTCGAAACTAAACAGCTACAAACATGAGCTTCGTCGTGAGTTTTTTAGAATATTTTTTATGCCAAAAATAGGGCTCAAAAATTGTGGTCTCAGGTCGGAATCAAGGACTCAATGGTGGCTGCGGCCGAATCTCTCGGAGATGCTATTTCTAGCGCTGGTCAGAAGACTGGAGAGGTAAATGGAAATCCCTTTTTTAGAAGGACCCATAAAAAAATCCTGAATTTTTTTAGCTCACTTCCGATGCTGCTGGAAGCGTTGTAGATGCCCTTAGCAGCACTAAGGACGCTACTGCCAGTGCCGCTCAGAGCGTTGGAGAATTTATGTTCGGATCGAAGAAGGATGGTGAAGAAATGGCCGATAAAGTCGAGGACAAATTCGAAAGCGCTAAGGTAGTAATTTTTGATGAATTTCAGTTCAAATTTCCTAAATCTACTCCTCTTAGGACACCGCTGCGGACAAAATGCACAGTGGCGCAGAGAAAGCAAAGAATGCTGGAGAACACATGAAAGTAAGCTTCGGAAATGGTTTTTTGCGCAGTTCATTCAAATTTTCTTAATTTTCAGGACAAGGCTTACAACGCAGGACAGTCGATGGGAGATTCAGCACACAATGCAGGACAATACATGAAGGATTCTGCGAACAGAGCAGGAGATCAAATTCATGATTCTGCACATAATGCTGGACAATACATGAAGGATTCCGCTCACAATGCTGGACAATACGCAAAAGATTCTGCCCACAGTGCTGGACAGTACATGAAGGATGGAGCCAATAAGGTTGGTGGAACAGTTTTTCGGATAGGTAAATACTATGGCAAAGGAAATACTCATAAGAAAAGTAGGAACTGCTTAAACGGGCTACGAACGAACTTTTGAGCGTTTTCTGGAACCAGGTAAAAAATTCGTTCACCTGATGGACGAAAATTGATTCAGTAGGGCAAAATATATGTAAGTTATGAAAAGGACGATTTGAATCCGAAAATGGCTACCAGCGAAATGTTAGCACTCCTTTGAGGCTTTTTTGCTTCCGAAACTGGCTACAAATGGAATTTCAGAGCAATTTTCAACCTCACATCTGAATCTGACTAATGGGGAAGTCATAGTTAGTAATAAAATGGTAAATCAGGTAATTAATTGTAAGCTCACTTTTCTTCCCTTAGGCAAAATGGAATTTTTTTCAAATTCTTGAGAAGGAAACATAATTGCAGCATAGCATAAGGAATTTTAATGCTTGATATTAGAAATTTTCAGGAAAATTTGCTTTATATCTGATTCAGTGGAATTATCAATGGGTAGGTAGAAAATGTCCATGAGTTTTGAATAAACTTGTAGAATTCTTCAGAAAAGGATGGGTATACTGTAACTCACTGGGAATGTTTTCCTAGCACCGAAAGCTAAATTTGAAGAAAATACGAGTAGGGGTAGTTTGGCTAGTATTGTTTAGCAGTACTGTTTCTATTATATAGAATATTATCCGTGAGATGTCACTGGCAGTAGAAAAAATTCAAATTAAATAGAAAATTTGATTTCATGCGAAAATGCTTTCTCTTTCCCGTTAGAAAAATTACCGTTTTCATTTAAAATTGGCCTAAATTCACTTGGGAGTTCAATCAGTCACCTCCGAACCTCAGTCGATCCAATGGTCCGAAAATAGTGCTCAAACAGCTATCAATAACTAACGCAGCATTCCTCAGCGATCAAAAAGGGGCGTGGCTAACGGCTAAGGGATCAAACAACAATCAACACCATGCGTAAACAAGCGCCCTTTTCGTGGCAATGTATTCCTTTCGTTTCCGACCGCCCCCTTGTCCATTCCACTTCATGCTTGTTGTGTGCCCCCTGCTGGTAGCCCCGAGTAGTTCTTTTGGTGTTATGATTTTTTGTCCACTCACTTTTGAACCCTTAGACATTGTTGACTTTGAAGTACTAGTAATGAACTGATGTTATGCAGGTAGTATAGTAGTCTGGGATATCCCACCTTCGAAGTATTCATTTCATTCACAGTATCCAGTCTCAACCCAGTAACTCCTATCCTCAGTATCGGTTACATAGCTGAGGGGGTATCACCACAGAATTGCTTTATACCTATAAGTACTAGTATCCATCTAAAAAGTTGTTGAGACAACTCCCAAGTAATAACCCATATTCCATTTTTCATTCCACTACTACAAATAATTATATAAAGCTAGCTTCTCCGATTTATCTTCATTTCGTTTAGTATTTTAGTCCTCAAAATTCAAGCATCAAATTATTTGCTAGATTCGCTGATTTTCCTGGGTTATTCCAGGATTACCTCCTACCTTCAAGTTACATTTTTCAGACCATTAGTATCAAATTCTCTTACTCTAGTTCCCTCACAAAACCCCAATAAAGGTTGGGACATTCCACCTCCTACTCATAGCGCCCTCTCAACCCCAGATTCTGTTGTTAACGATATTGCCATAACCTGGGATATTCCACCTCTTCAGCACTTCCTTGCCGTTCTATCCCTGTGATTTACTTGGTAATAGTTTGGGACACTCCACACCCATTACTCTAAGCGCATACTTCAGCTTTAATAAATAAGATTCTGTTGTAGCGGATGGTCATATCCTGGGATATCCCACCTCCTAAGCAGTTTTTCCCATTTGTCATTTCCTCTGTCCCTGTGAAGCCAAGTTATCACAGATCCCGGTTTGGTGCTTCCTATCGCAGCTTGGGACACCACCTTTCAATCGAAAAAATGTGATTATGGGAACTTTCCAATCCACTCGTAGGAAACAACGCAGAAGTGATATTAGCTGCTCTAGTCTTCAGTATAGTTCGGGTAATTTTTCCTAGGTTGACGCTCCAGGCGCTATAATTTAGTTTTGGACATGATTCAGAACGTCTCTTCCATAGTAACTCCCAAGTAAAAGTCTCGGACATTTTCCGCCTAGTTCAGCCAGTATTGAACTTACTCCCCTAACTATTTTAGTAACTTACCAATGCTTAATTACAAATTTGTAGACAGCCGACTGGGTTGCTGACACTGCTTACATCGCATCTGATAAGGTAAAGATGTGTCGCAGTGGTGTTTTTACCCTAGTTCTAATCCTGAGAAATTTTACGGATAGGATAGTAGCTAGAAGTCGACTAATCATTGAAATCTAATTCTTCAAAAATTCTTCTTAGCTCACATCTTTTCCTATGACTTTAGTAATTTGATATGTCTAGAAGTATTTACTCATCCTTGCGCATTTTAATCGCACTATCAATAAAGAAACGAATTTGACTTTTTTCAGCTCGACAAAGAAAGCGAATCTACAATGCAAAACCTAAGAAACCAAGCCGCTGGAAAGAAGGACGAGCTCCAAGGAAAGATGCACCAGTGGGGATCGGATGCTGAGAGAAGAGCCATGGACGCCGAGAATGCCGTCACTCACGCCACCCACCATACCGAAGTGAAAATCATTGAGGGAAAGCAGCAGCAAGGAACTGAGGTTCCAAGAAAGCCATTCGTCCAGAAGCAGTCATACCAGTTAACCGCTGAAGACAAGAAGGCAGCTGAAAATGCTCGAGCTAACATCGAAAAACTATTCGATGACGCCAGGAACAAGGCCCACAATATTATCGGAGACTTTGGCAAGCAGTTCTCAGGCTTTAGATCTGAGATTGAGAAATCATCCACTCAAGGAAACGAAGCCACATTGAAGGCACTTCAGGAAGCTCAACGCAGAGCCAACGATTTGAAGAATGAGATCTCCAAGAATGTCGCCACCTGGAAGAAGGAAGCCGGTGGAATCGCTGCCGGTGTCAATAACCAGGCCATGAATGCCCTAAGTGATGCCGAGAAACGCGCAGCCGAACTCAGTGCCGCCACCGCCAACCAGATGATGGGCCTAAGGGGAGACGTTGACAGAGCCATCGACCAGTCCAAGGACAATGTTGCCCGAACCTACAACGAGGCCCAGCAACGCGCTGGACAAGCTGAAAGTAACACTGCCCAGAAATTGAACACCTTGAAGACCGATGCCGAAAGGGAAGCCGCCAAGGCCAACGATGCCGCCCTTCGTTCCCTGGAAGATGCCCAGATGAGGGCCGCTCACCTTAAGAGCGATACCGCCCAGAAACTGTCCGGTTTCAAGACCGAAGCTGAGAGAGTAGCCTCTATGGCTGAGAATCAGGCTGTTGGAGCCTTGAGCAATGCCCAGAGACAGGCCGAATCCATCCGTGAGGGAGCACTTCATGTGAGTTCCGGTAGGCCTGGTTATTATGGGTAAATTATGGGTTTTCATTTCAGGAGGCCGATCAGACCATCGCCCAGGCTCAGACCAAGGCTTCCGAGTTGAAGGTCGAATCTGAGAAGGTAAGATTTACTCTTGAGACCGGCAAAACGTTAAACAGTGTGGTAGCTAACTGGAATTTCCTTACCGGTAGAGAGCAGACGTAGGTAAGGGTATGATGGGTGGGTAGAATGGTAAGACTTTACCTGTCTCTGGCACTTTGCCAAAATCCTACAAAATCTTTTTTCGATTATAGAAATTGACCGCAACTTATAGGTAGAATGGGTAAGACATCGTTACCGTCACTTGACCTTGGCCTCGTGCCAAGTTCCTCTCATTTACAGAGATCTCCCCACGTTCCAGCTATTTTTGGAACAAAACAAGTTTGTGCGCAATGAAATAGTATCATTAGAGAATCCGGCGGCCAGAATGTAAAGTTGAGGGGTATTACAAGCGTTGCCGATTTGTTTACTACATTTTTTTGCAACGCGTAGCGCTCTCTATGCAATGGTTTGATTAGAAGAGGTTGTCGTAAACACGTTTATCTTCAACGAGAGGAAAAACGTAAACAACTCATACATCCGCTCTTGGTTGCATTCAAGGGACCTATACGATCGAATGGGAGGGGAGAGGAGGGGGGTGTAGTTCCCGTAATTTTTTGGGGGCAAGACAGACTCCACGCTGACTTAAGTGAAATGTGTAGATGCGAAAAAGATTATAACTTGCTGGAAACATTTGAACGGAACCCACCCGGAGAAGGAGGGGGGACCATTGTCGCAGGGGACCTACATATACAGACTGTCCTAGCTGAGGATGCGTAGGTGCAAGGGTTGAATGGGAGGGGAGGGGGGGGGGAGAATTTTTTAAAATTCACTGTAAGAAAAATATGTTATCACGAAATCTAGAAAATGTGTAAATGCAAAAAAATTGATGATTTGATAAAAATGAGTTGACATTATTGAAAAAAATTCAGACCGCCCAATGCGTTGGCTACATTCTCGACTCTAAGATGGCTAAGGTCCAGGAGAAAGCTGAGGAGCTAAAGAGGGAAGCTGACAAGGTAAGTGCAGCTGGTCCCGTACGGAAAATCAGATGCAAATCATTTCCTTTCTAGGCTATGGAAGCCGCTGAGAAGACCAAGATCGAGTACTCCGAGAAGAAGACTGTAACTACCTCTAAGACTCAGGGAGGAGTAAGTTTGGCCAACCCTTGGCGCGAAATTTATCTAAAATTCATGGTTGTAGGTAACCACAACTTCTGGCCCACAAGTTGTCAAGGATGAGAAAGTCCAGTACAGCTCGGACAACAAGGTAAAGACATTTTTCCAGAAGGAAATTTTTTGAAGAAATTGCTGAGTAATAGAATAAAACCATGGTTTTATAGAGCGGCAAGCGATAAGCAGGGAATCAAGAATTCTCCAAAAGCTTCGCCAGCAGAGGTTTGTTCAAAATACCAATAGGAATTAGTTCTAGACTTAGCTAATCAAATAATTTTCAGAAAATCAGGCGCGTATCTAAAAAGCTGTAATAAATGCTTATCTACTCCCTATAAATGTGTTATTCAACGGTATATTTTCACGGTTTTGCAATCATTCACATCTTGGAAATTACATCTCTATCCATTCGTAAGATGTATATTTCACCCCCTGTCATCGCAAGCCCCTGTTGTACAGTAGAAATTTTCTGGAATCGGTTTATTACACCCCCTAATAAGCTGTAAATCTTCTAGTTGGATTCCGACGCACTCATGTTGCTGTGTTGTTTGCTTATGTACAAAAATACTGTACATTTAGATTTTTGTAAAATTTGTGTTATCCTATATTAGCTTTGTAAATAAAGAATTTCCGGAATTTTTCTAGATGTCTGAAATTTTCAGTCATCACTGAATCATACTTCTACGCCATTGCTGTGATATTCTATGTACTTTTATCTGTCGTCATAACATGTCATCCTGAAAAATCAATATCAATCAATATCAGTGCAATTTCTTTACAGAAAAAGCAAACAAACAATTTACAAACATGAGTTTCGTCGTTGGAATCAAAGATTCTATCAAGGACGCTGTGAAGTCAGTAAAGGATGTAAGTTTGGCAATTTTCCAAAAATTGATCAATAATACGGTTATCTGAGAAAATTTTCCCTTAATATTATTTTTTTAGGAAATCAAGGGAAAGAACAAGGATAAGGAGCATCATCATGATGTATCTCAAAGTGGATCGGAACAGGCTCTTGCAAGCAGTGTCGAAAAGAACGCACAGAAGGTATGTGGTATTTGTTGTACCTGAAAATAGGCGTGGCACTTTTTTTGGACCCTTAAAATGGGCGTAGCGTTTTTTTGCACTCGAAAGTGTGTGCCACAACCCATTAATAACTTTAAAAAAATCTATAAATAATGCACCCATCGGGATCGAAGTTACCTGTATCGTCTTCCCAGGTCGCCAGGGGGTCAACCCCTGAAAAATTTATCCTATGACAGAATCAATAAAATCAATATTTTGTAGAAAGCCGAGTGGCTTGCACAAGGAACCTCTAACCGAACCACAGCGGTAGGACTTGCTACAAAACTTACCCTATTGAGCCCAAATGTCCCTTTGTGCTTCATTGTCCTGAAACGCAAATGCTCCATGTTAAAATTTCAAAATAGAAAAAATAGTCCGAGGGCTAGAAAAAGCTTATGAAAGTCCGAAAAACTGAACGTTATGTTTGTGTGTGTGCAGACTATATGTCTCAGAGTGGAAATAAAACCACATTCATTGTTCGTTTGAAGGGAGCCGAATATGCTGCCGATAGAGCTGAAGATGCGCTTGCGTCTGCCAAATATGGTCATGGTTCGTCACAGGTGAATATTGAAGACATTTAAATTTAGATTAGTCAGTGATAGACACTGTAGAAATAGTAGTTAGATCATAGTTAGTAGTCAATTGGGTTACTGTAATCATTTGGGTTCTAAGGTGCAACAAAAGATGGAGTACGGTAGCGCAGACGAGGCCGCAAAGGCTATTCACGACCAGGCCTCGAAGGTGATTATATTTGAATTTTTGCCAATTTTCTGGCAACAAATATAGAGGACCAAAAACTTCATAAAAAATATGGTGACACAGTTGTAGAGTTTATATAGGCAATTTATCGCACGCAGAGAATGGCCGCCGTTGCACCCGATCATGGTAGTTCGTGTTTGCGAGAGACAGCAGACGGCTAGAGGAATGAAAGAGCGTTCGATTTGAGAGATGCCGACAGTGTCCGCAATGGCGTCTTATCTCTGCGTGCGGCGATCTGCTGTAATTACTTTTTAGATCAAAAGCACTAACGTTTATCTGAAAAATGATAAAATAGGTGAGAAAATCTATGAAATACATTCAACTAAGAAAGATGGCAGTGGGCGATTTTTTACTTTGTTCTCTCGAAATTAAGGCATGAAGAGATTAAGACGGAATAAATCTCTTTCTTGGAATTCAGCAGCAGTTCCTCCTTTTAGAAATTTTCCTTCTACCATACCATAGGCTTTTCATTAGATTCTTATTTCAGCTCACTTCTGAAGTCCAGAGAGCCGCCCAATCTGCCAAACAGGGCGATAACACTTTCGTCACGGAAATCCGTCAATCACCCGACAATGTTACAAGCGTCAAGATGGTGACTCGTACCACTAAAGTCGTACAGCCAGATTATGATGTCGGTGATGCCGAAAAGGTAGTAAAATTATTTTCTAAGTACTGTAGTCTCTGCCAACAAATTAATTTTTTCAGATGGCCCACGACCTCAAAGAAGACGTTCACCAGAAAATTAGTGGCTGGAAAACTGATGTCCCCAACACCGACCAGATTTTCGGCGATGCACAGAAGAAGGCCACTGATGCCAAGTTCCAGACAGCTGAGAAACTCCTCCAGCTCAAAAATAATGCTGGAGAGGTCGTCAAGGATGCCGCTGACCATCTCCACCATGACTTCGGAGATGCCGCTCAAAGAGCCGCCAGGGCAAGGGATGCTGCTTCCGAGAAATTGTCCGGCATGAAAAAATACGCCGATAAGGAAACTTCTGAGGCTCAGAAGGCTGCTGATGAGGAAATTCGTCGGGCCAGACAGCATGCCGCTGATCTGAGAAATCAGCTCAAGGATAAGCTTAACAAGTGGAAGGTCGACACTATCAAAACCGCCACCGAAGCAGAGGAAGCGACCCAACATCTGATCGACAACGCTCAGCAGAGAATAAAGGATGTAAGAGAGGATACAGCTGAGAAACTGAAAGATTTGGAGGATGAGGCCTCGCAGGTCAGAAATGGAGCAAATCAACAGATTGATGATATCTTCGAAGATGCGAAACAGAGAGCGATCGGTGTGATCATGGAAACCGCAGAGACAATGGCTCACCTGAAGGCTGCTGCCCAGAATCTTATTATCGATGGTAACCAGGAAGCTTTGGACGCAGCTCTCGATGCGCAGAAGAAGGTCGGCGACCTCAAAAACTTCACTCAGGTGAACATGCAAGCATGGAGGAGAGATGCTGAAGGTATCGCCGCTGGAGCCAGAGACGATGCTCTTCACGCTGTTGAAGATGCTGGCAAGAAGGCTGCTGACTTAAAGGACCAAGCCGCGCAGAAATTGTCTGGACTGAAGAACGAAGCCCTGAGAACCGCTCAGCAAGCTAATCAAGTCATCTCACATGCATACGATGATGCCCTTAAGAGGACATCCGATGTGGAAGCTCAGACCTCTGCCAGACTTGCTAACCTCAAATCGCAAGCTTCGGGAGCACCCGGACAAGCCGGCCAGGACGCCCTCCGCGCTCTGGCTGAAGCCGAGAGAAGAGCGGCTCAGCTCAAGGAAGACACTGCCAGGAAATTGGCCGCATGGAAGGCTGAGTCAGAACGATTGGCTGCTCAGGCCAAGGACGCTTCATCCACTGTGCTAGAAGATGCCCGCAGACAGGCAGAACAAATTTTGAGTCAGGCTAGAATGGTGAGTTTTTTGTCGAACTTCCTCTACCACAAACTAGGTCAAGCATCCTTTTTCTAGACTGCTGAACAGATCGTTGGTGATGCTGACGCACAGGCTAGAGCAGTAAAGATCGAAACCGAAAAGGTTCGTTTTTCGAGGGGTCACCGCGTACGAAAATTTCTATAATTTTTCCAGGTCGCCCATGTCGTTGGTGACGCTCTCGAAAAGCAGGTTGCCAGTGTCCAGGACAAGGCCGATGAACTGAAAGATGAAACTGATGAGGTATATTGCTTTTGTTATTGATCCACAACATTTTCTGGAATAATTTGTGTTTTTCCAGGCTCTCAAGGGAACCAATGACTTTATCAAGCACTCAGTAACTGAGAAGACCACCGAAACCTACGTCGAGGCTCAAGTATGTGTTTATCTCTTGATAAAGCCACTGTAGTTTCTGGTCAGTACCGTAACTCATTTCGTTCTAGGGTGCTGCCGCAGGTATCCACGGCCCTGGTGGCATCAAGATCGGCGGTAATATCCAGTCCGGTGGCGGTCACCAAACCGGTGGTTACTCTGGCATGCAATCCGGTGGCGGTTACCAATCTGGTATGCAGTCCGGTGGTGGTTACCAATCTGGCATGCAGTCCGGTGGTGGTCACCAATCTGGCATGCAATCCGGTGGTGGTTACCAACAATCTGGTATGCAATCCGGTGGCGGTCACCAATCCGGTATGCAATCCGGTGGTGGTTTCCAATCTGGCATGCAATCCGGTGGTGGTTATCAACAATCTGGTATGCAATCCGGTGGTGGTCACCAAACTTCCGGCGGCATGCAGTACCAAACTTCCGGCCAAAATATCCCTGGTGGAGCTACCAATGTCCAACACTCTAGCAGCAAGGTAATTATTTCTAGATCCTTTATTTGATAGGTTTCATCAACTCCTATGTTTTCAGACCACCCAGAAATCCCAATCGAAGAAGTAAATGTTTACCGGAACTTCTGGATTAAGGGTTAGTCCACGTCAAACCCCTGCGGAACTTCCGAAGACTATAGATGTTCTTTCAGGACGTGTTAGCTACAAATGCGAGTTGGATGCAATTATTGGTGGAAGTGTTATGACCATCATAGTATTGCTCTTCTCTGATATTATTCTATGTATCTTTTAGTCAGAAAGGAGCATTGTGTACTTTGTCTGGAGATCTAGCTTACACCTCCTGTTCTATAATCGAAATTTCATGTTCTCTGATTTCATTTCCAATATTATGGTTAGAGGGAAGTGTCAGGTATGTTAATTTCTCCTATAGAAATTGCATACATACTTCCTTCATGTATGAAGCTTGGACAAGTATGTAATCCATAGCTTCCACGGATCCTCTATATATTGTAATCGCAGTTTTGTGACAGTTGTCGCACTTGCTATTACACGTAACTATCTGCAGTGCGCGTATCGCTTGTGTACACTATACTTGTGTATATATTCGTATATTTTAGACCATATGTACAGTTGTAGATTTCCTTGTGCTTAAGTGATAAAAAATTGTTTTGATGGAAGTCTAACACAGAGAAATATAATTTACAGAATTCCACACTCACTAGAAAAGCGCAGAGCTCCAAAAATTCACAAAACCCAGTACAATTTTTTTCTAGATCCGAAGGTAACTACATCTTACGTTTGATGAGAAATTGCTCAAAATAGTTCACTGTAAAATCATCCTTTAGCTTGAACTTAGTTTTGAACTTCGCTTTAGAAAGATCTTTGGATGAAATAAGTTGACGATTAGAGGTGAGTGCTTCAAATTTTTAGCTCAGTCTTGGACTCCGGAGATGGTAAGAATTACAATGAAGTTCCCTACACTTTGCCATCACCTAAAAGGTAATATCTTCAGGATTAGAAAACAATCCAGGAAGCCGAATTCGCGATTTGGGAGCATACCATTAGGTAAGTTAGTAGCCTACCAAGCGAACTATAACGAAGAAAATGAAGTTTCAGAACTGTAGCGATCATTGGGCACGGAATTTTTCGAAACATTCCGCCAGTTGAGGTTAGTTTAACGAACAAAAAATTCGAAGTTTGTGGAATTAATCGAACACTTTTCAGAAAATACACGTCACAACCGTTTGACAGAAGTATCCTTTCTATCAGCTCAGATTCTCGCTATACGGTAGAAATTTCTGGAACTTGAGTAACCTAGAAATAAGAGTAGTACATTTTCGAATCTTAGCGGATTTAGTTCTACTAGTCGAATTAGAAAGTTTGAGTTCTTCTGGTCGAAATCTAGCGAATTCATGTCGATGTCTTATTCGTCTGTTTAAAAACACCGTACATGTCGTCGTTTATGCTAAATCGTACTAATATCGTATTTCGTCGAAATAGCTGTAAATAAAAGAATTACTCTTTTTTTTGTAGATGTGATATAATCAGTTCTTGCGCTGAATCATACTTCTAGATCATTGCTATGTTATTCCGTCGTGTTTATATATTGTCTGTCATGTCTTAGAATCGATATCGATCAATAATGTTTGTTTACAGAAAAATACCACCTCGAACTTTTTAAAAATCAACCAAACAATCTACAAACATGAGTAGCATACTTGGAGATATCAAGGATACCATCAAGGATGCTGTAAAGACAGTGAAACATGTGAGTCTCGCACGATTATATCGCTAAATTTATTCTAACCCTAAATTTTGAAATGAGGAAAATATTGGCCCGAGCTCGAACTTTACATTCATAGGAAATCACTGGAAAGAGCCATCACGAACACGATGTAGCTGATGCTCATGGTTCCGAATTCGCTATTGGTAGCGGTGGCAGTGCCGACAAGGATGCGAAGAAGGTGTGTAGACAGTTCTTGTACCTAAATGGGCGTGACAATTACCTTTTGACAAAAAATGGGCGTAACACTTTTTTTTTAACGGAAAGTTGGTGGTACTGTACTAATTTTAATAGGAAAATACTGCGGATGTTTAGCACAGCGCTGGTATAGGTACTTTTTTGAACCCTAGAGTAGATAAAATAGAGTTGGCTAGCCTTCCAGCGCAAAAAATTTTTCAAATAATGAAGGCCGTTGGGATCTACAATATTGATACTAGGGTCTTCATATCATTAACTGGAAGATTCGAAAATCAATATTCAATAGAAAACCTACAGTTTAACTAGAACCTAGTCCTTTAAATTAGCTTCAGCAATAAGCAATCTTCACACAAATTTCACCCCCATTGACCCCTTCGTTCCCCGACTACTCAACAAGAGACTGATGGAGAAGGAGGGCAGCTTCAGATTCAAAAGCAATCATCTTGTATGTAGGTGATTTTTCACAGAAGGGGTCCTTATTATAGTCGGTTATTATAGTCCTATAGTAAAGCATAGCGGCACGATTTTTCGCACTCCTATCCGCTTCACCTCACCTTCCTTCTCAACAATGGGCTTTTGTGGATTACAAGATTTTCATCAAATCAGATTATCTTTAGAAAGCCGATTGTCTTACGGGAGGGACTTAGTTTGGTAATAGGTCATTAGAGGTATGACTCAACAGGAGTTTTACCCTTCAGACCTCCCCCTCCCCTCCGTTTGTGCTTCCCTGAGAAAAGTGTCTATGATAATAATAGAGAAAAATTGGCTGCGGGTTGGGACCATTATACCATATCTAGAAACCAGTCCAAAGCGCCGCGAAGCGGCGCTTCGGACTGGCTGTGTGTGAAGTGGGATGTGACTTCAAAGTTAGAACCGGAAACCTTTTCTTGCGCAGACATTCAACGAACCCAGAGATTAACAAAGATAGTCAGAAGTTTCCTGCTTTATGTGGTTTCATAAGTACTAACAGAAGTGCCAATAGATTATTTACCGTTTTCTCCCAGCTTCCCAGGTATGTATGCTCTTGTACTTTGCAAACTTGCGCTTTGCTGCCCTCCCTAGGTTCTTCCAGCCAAAATGCATCCCACTTTCCCTCAATTTCTTTTCACCCAAAAGCTTCCCTTATGAAACTTTCCAAACCACCATTCTTTTCTCGCACTCTCACATCTTTCAGATCTTACTTAGTCGTTTCAAGTCTTGCCTCAGAGGTGCCGTTGAGAAAATGCGAACTTACAGCTTTACAGTCTGTCCCCCGAATCAGGCCAAAATTGACATGATGCGCTGCGCCCTCAAGATTCCGCGTCATGTCTGCGGTTTGCTAAGGGCGGTTATGTTGGGCTCGGCAACCTTTTCCCAGCTATGTACAATCTATCGACTGTTTTGAGCCGGGGCCCTCCCCTCCTCATCGACTGTCCTGCGAACTGCCCCAACACTTCACAACACTTCACTCTCCATTAAATCTCTTGAGCTCGTATGAAAACCTGAGGCGAGATAAGCGACGTTCCCGGTCATGAAAGGGCCCGGGAACGTCGCTGTCGAACATCGCCGCGACTCTAACCAACATTCCAACTTATAATATAGAATTTTTGAAATCAAACAGCATCCCTTCCTCTTCACAAAATATGCTCTGTTGGCTCGTGCACAATTTGCTCGTGCACAAATTCTTTCCAATTCAAGAATCTTAGTGTCAAATCCCGTTAGCGTTCTATATGGGCTATCCAAATTGTTCAACATCTATCTTTTCCACCCAGCTCCAAGTCCACCCCAATTTCCAACTCATCTTGATAGGCTACTGACTTGAATTCTATAAAGAGAGGTATTATTCAAGTTCAACTCCAGATTCAGCTATTCATCCAAGTAAATCTTCAGTGTTTATACGATTCTGGGGCTGTGCAATGTTTTGACAAAATTGCGCCAAAAACTACATGTTCCTGAGATTAGCAAGGGTTGAGTTGATGGTTAGTGAAGCCCTTTCTTTTCATCTTTTTTACACTGACAGCAAACAGACAGCATGTAGCTCTAAAATTCTATTACGATCGCAGTGACGTTTTTCATAGTATTTCTGAACTTTTCGGTCTTTTGAGACAAATGAGAAGTTCTAAGATGCAGTCTTCTGAACCTACGATTTAGTTGCCAAGTGAGCTTTTTGCATCCAGCGTAGTTTCAAGACAATTCGCATCACCATGTTTCTTATCACTTAGTGGTAATTTGGAAAGTTCACACAGTCTTGAGATGTCAAATGAATAAAATTGAAGACTTTCGAAAAGCATCAGACCTTACAATTACGCTTGATGTGAACTGAGGAGTCGAGTGAGGAGGAGTTTTATGGTGTTGTGTTCAATAGCTTGATTTCATAGTAAACATCATCGAGAAAGCCAAGTTAGCGCAAAATACGATGACGTCATTAGGTTGCACTTACGCGACTGGTTCAAATCGTAACTGTAAACAGTATGGAAGCGAGCGAAAGTGCAAAAGTTAAGACAAAGATCTGGGCAAACATTCTTGCTCGTTGTTGACGTGCGATGGTCCCCCCTGCGCTTTATTATAGGGTATGATGATTTCACTGACTCTTTTGTGCTGACTGTTTACAAAATATAAATGGCTTACATCTGAAGAGGAAATGAAAAATTCGGCACTATCTTGCAATCCCCTAGAAATGCACTCGTTATCTATAACAATATTTTTAGCTAACTGCGGACGTTAAAGCGGCACAAGGCGGAACCGATCCCAGCACTATAAAAGACGCCAAGCTTATTACTCACACTACCGTAATTGCACAGGCAAACCAGCCAAACATGGAATCTGCTTCAAATGTTTCACTCAAAAGCTGGAATGATGGTGGCGATAAGGTAAGCGCCTATGTTTTGTTAAAAACATCATCCACCAAAACTGCGGTCTGGTGAGATTTTGACGTTCCATAATAGCGGGGTCCCTAACTAAGTAATCGCTTGAATCTCCCTGCAAAAAGTGAATTCCGAAGCGAGAAAATTACTCCAAAAAGTAGGAGCGGCTTAGGTGGTTCCGCCCATCAATGTGGATGGTCTGAAGAAAAAATGTCCAAAATAGGGCTTAAATGTATCTAGAGATGTGATAAATTCGCCGTTTATCGTGGTCGTCAGATTTGACATCTATATTCACCCTGAAGCCCGCTTTCGATCTCATTATCTCTAGACCACGTTGATGGGCGGAGCCACCTTGGCCGCTTCTACCTTCTAGAGCGTTTTTCTCGTTTCGGAATTCATCTTTTGCAGCGGGAGTTGGGCCTATTACCTAGTTAGGGGATCCGCTATCATACAGTAACAAAATCTCGAAATTATGAAAATTGGGCCGATGCCGTCAATAAAGTGTACTATGTTATTAAAGCACAACTTCTAGGCTGCCCGCGATCTCCAGCACGACGTTGGTCAGAAAGTGACCGGATGGCAAACCGAAGTTCAGAGAACAACTGGAGGTGCCCAGGATGCCACCAACAAACTCTTCGGTGATGCTCAGCAGAAGGCACATGATGCCAAGTACCAGACAGCTGAAAGACTTAACCAGCTCAGAAACAATGCTGGAGGTATCGTCAGAGATACCACCGGTCATCTGGAACATGAATTTGATGATGCTCACCAGAGAGCCGACAATGTCAAGGATGCTGCTGCAAAGAAATTGGAGGGCATGAAGAAATACGCCGATAAGGAAACTATGGAAGCCCAGAAGAAGGCGGATCAAGCTGCTCAGGAAGCCAAACAGAGAGCCGCTAACTTGAGAAATCAACTCAAGGATAAGCTGAACAGCTGGAAGGCGGCCACCATCAACTCGGCCAACGAGGCTGAGCAAGCCACCGTACATCTGATCACTGACGCTCAGCAGAGAGTGAAGGATGTAAGAGAGGAGACTGACGAGAAGCTGAAGGATTTGGAAGATGAGGCTAAACATATTACAGATGACACCAAACACGGCATCGATCAGCTTTTTGATCAGGCAAAACAGATCGCTATGGACATGATCCAGGATGCTTCAGGCAGAATGATCCAGTTGAAAGCTCTGGGACAAGAATACGTCAACGAGTGCAATCAGGAGTCACTCCACGCTATTCTTGGCGCTCAGAAGAGGCTCGATGACCTTAATAATCACATTAATGCGAACATGCAGAACTGGAAGAAACAGGCTGAATCCATCGCTGCCGGAGCCAGAGGCGATGCTCTTCATGCTGTTGACGATGCGGCCAAGAGAGCTGCTGACGTGAGGAACCAAACCGCACAGAAATTGTCTGGATTGAAGGATGAGGCACAGAGAACTGCCCAAGAGGCTAATCAGTACATCGCACGCGCATACGACGATGCTTTGAAGAGAACAGCCGAGGTTGAGGCTCAGACGGCCAATAGACTGGCTAAACTCAAGTCGCAAGCTTCTGGAGCACCAGATCAGGCTGGCGCTAATGCACTTCGTGCGCTGGCTGAAGCTGAGAAGAAAGCAGCTCAGCTCAAGGAGGATACAGCCAGGAAACTTGCCGGATGGAAGAATGAGTCGGAACGTATGGCTGCACAAGCCAAGGACAAATCGTCTGCTGTGCTAGGTGATGCACAGAAACAAGCTGACCAGATTCTGCACAAAGCAAAAATGGTAAGTTCATTCCAGATTACTCTTCCAAAGCTAAGAGCAAGATTTCCTTCTTTAGGATGCTGATAAGCTTGTCGGCGATGCTGAAGCTCAGTCTAGAGCTGTGAAAATCGAAACTGAGAAGGTTCGTTTGTTACTCTTTCTGAAATTCTGATACCTCTTCCATTCATGGCTATGAACTAAAATCTAATCTCTTTTCTTTTAGAAAGCTAAGGTCGTTGGCGGCGCGCTTGAATCAGAAGTCAATAAAGTACAAGACATTGCCGATGAGTTGAAAGATGAAGCTGATAAGGTATATTGCTGAAGTTCCCCATCATAGCATTTATAATCGCTATACCAATGTTTGCAGGCACTCGATAGCACCAAAGAATTTATCAAGAATTCAGTGATTGAAAAAACTACTACAACCTTCGTCGAGGGACAAGTGAGTTTCGAGCCAAAGAGGAGGAAGCTGGAGAAGAATCACCCCGACAATCTCGTTAGGGGGTGCTTTTGGATAATATCAAAGCATTCTCATATTTCAGGGCAATGCCGGAGGTGTTCAATCTGGTGGCGGCGGCATGAAGATGTCCGGCGGTGTCACCGGTCACCAAACTTCCGGTGGCATGCAGATGTCCGGCGGTGGTCATCATACTTCCGGCGGCGGTCACCAACCTTCCGGTGGCATGCAGATGTCCGGCGGTGGTCATCATACTTCCGGCGGCGGTCACCAAACTTCCGGTGGCATGCAGATGTCCGGCGGTGGTCATCATACTTCCGGCGGCGGTCACCAACCTTCCGGTGGCATGCAGATGTCCGGCGGTGGTCATCATACTTCCGGCGGCGGTCACCAAACTTCCGGTGGCATGCAGATGTCCGGCGGTGGTCATCATACTTCCGGCGGCGGTCACCAAACTTCCGGTGGCATGCAGATGTCCGGCGGCGGGGTGAACCCCGGCGGCATGCAGTTCGCAGGCGGAAAGTCCGGCGGTGGTCATCAAACTTCCGGTGGCATGCAGATGTCCGGCGGCGGATCCGGTGGTGCTCGCCGAAGTTCTGGAGGTGGCATGCAGATGTCCGGAGGCGGAGTGAACGCCGGTGGCATGCAGTTCGGAGGTGGAAAGTCCGGCGGTGGTCACCAAACTTCCGGTGGTATGCAGATGTCCGGCGGAGGTTTCACGTCCGGAGGAAATAGCACCGTGATCCCCGGTACCGGTGGTCACATGTCTGGTGGCGGTGTTACCAATGTTCAGCACAGCAGCCAGGTATATATCTCCAGAATCGATTTTTTTGGAACCTTCTTAACCATCCATATTTATAGAAAACCAGCAGCAAATCCCATTCGAAGAAGTAAATGATTTCCAGAACTTCTTCTGGTTAATGGGTTAGTTCTAGCCAAAATTCGGCGGAAGTTCCGAAATTCATGAGAACATTTTTCAGGACTTAAATCAACAATGCAAGTTGGGTGCAATCATTGGTGATAACAGCTATATATGTTCCTCTCTGATGTGTATTCTATATCTTGCCTTACTATAGTCAGCAAGAATTACTGTGTACTTCCTTGTCTGTATCAGCTTACAATTCCTGTGCATTAGAATTTTCATGTCCGTCTCATTCCCTACGTTGCGGTTAGAGGGAAGTGATGTATAGCAATTCCTCCCATGGGCACTTCCTTATCATAATAAGAATAATAATCTGAATCTGTATATTTGGTGTCACCTGCTTTGTGACAGTTGTCGCACTTGCCATCATCGAATTCTGCACTGCGTATCGTTTGTGCAGCTATTCTTGTGTACATATATGTTATACAGATGTACAGTTGTAGATTTCTTGAATAAGAAATGCTTCGATGGAAGTCTAATACAGAAGCATGAAAGTAAAAACAAAAGTTTGTGATTCGTCCATACATGAAATACTTGGAAAGTACTTAGCAGCAGGTAACATCACTGAACTGTTTCTTTTTGTTCAGGAATTCTGCACGAGGCGCATCAGCATCCTTGAAATTTGCATCTTAACAATACTAAGACGAATACAGAACAATCCCATGTTATTAATTGGCAACCTTTTAGAAGCATTCATAGACACACCTGGCTTAGCAATACCGGCTAATACTTACCTCACAGCATGGATTAGAATCACTCACTTCGACACCATAAAACATTTTGGAAGAAAACTGCTATGCAATGCTAAAACAATCACACGCTAATTCTTATAAAAGTTATCGCTTCCTTCACCAAATGCTTGTCGGGCCAGGGTGAGAAGGTGTTCGGGAATTCCTAAAATGTGCATATTCCAAAATGAGTGTACACTACATTTAAGCCTACTAATAGCTTCGGCAAAATCATAAAATTTCTGCATTTTCGATAACACCGTTCCTCATTGCATTATGCAAAGTAAAGAAAAGGGGAAAAGGTTGAAACTGGATGATACGACATTGGGCATCCGACCAATGACTCGCAGACAGGGCTCAGCCGCAAAACTGCCGCAAAAATGCGCCGGCATGCAACCGGCATGCCATTGGCAAGCTGTCCATCAACAAACAAAGGCGTTGGTTTCAGCCAAAACGCAATAGTATGACACCAAATTTGGTGTGTGCATGCGCGTTGGTGGACCGGAACTACGGCCAAAAATTTATGAAAACTTATGTGAATGAAAGCTGTGCCGAACTTTTTTCTGAATTAGCTGGCACCGACACTTTGCTCACATAAGTTTTCATACTTTTTTACATAAAATGTATCTACATTGTAAAAGATTACATACGGAGAAGAAACAGTTTCATAATGTTCTCCTTTCAGCGTTTTAGCAATTTTAAACTCGGTCCGCTCCGCCGTCGAAAAATCGGCTTTTTCTGCTCCTCAAGATGTGATTCGACTACTTAAAAAGCTCAGAAAGCTGTGAAAAGTTCTTTCATGAAATCAAAAATGCATGAAAACACTACTACTTTTTTTTCGTAATATAAAAATGATGCCGGGTTTTCAAAACTGATCAAAAGGGACTCCGTTTGAAATTTTCTATCAAACGGGGCTTCGTTTTGAAATATCCCTGGTGCCAGCTCGTGCCGAGCCCTGAGCGGCTCCATCAAAAGTTAAAATTTTTGAGAAATTGTCAAGAAAATCAAATCCGCCGTTTTGTGTTTGCTCGGAAGTGTTAATTGGCCAAATCAATACAATTTTTGCTTGCAATCAGATTGACAGTACAGGTTATAGGTTATAAAACCTACAATACCTACTGTTCCGATTATTGCTAGTTCCAGATTTTTGGCAACCCTACACAAAATTATCAAGATTGATTTTCTCCTGCTTTCTCTCTCTCTGCAGTGTTTGTATGTTAGAAATTCTTTCAAATGCTGTTTTGAAGCGCATGATTTTCTCCTTTAGCAATTTGAACATTCTCTAGCAGCTAATTTCTCAACCCAAAAGTTTGAATATCATTTATAACAACTCAATTGCACAATTCTAGAACTCATGTAAGTAGCCTTCGAAAATTTGGCGATCCATTCTGAGAATGCCTGAGGGGGGGGGGTTGAACTCTATCCGTCTCACCCATCACGACGTATGTAATAGACTTCAATATCTTTTTATCTCAGCTCAATGGTATTCATTTCTGCGAAATTGAAACCTAATTCGGACTAGACTCCCCTTCCCCCAGATGTAGAGGGAGACAAAGCCCCCAACCCTTCAAAGATGGCAAAGATCAAACATCAACAATACAGGGCAAAAATCGTGAGGAAGATTTCCCTCGTAAGAAGAGCATGATATATAATCATCCAGGCTCCAAACCCAATCGATAGGAGATTGAGAATATACACAAAAACATATGTTATGGTCATGCCTAAACCCAGAAATTTATAGCACTAATTTTATGGAAAACTGCGAATTTGAGGCGACATTGAGTATAACCATAGGATTTGAGAACTGAATTAATTATTAGACTTTTTTACTCTCCATCGCTCTACATGAGTCTAAATCGTAAGAAGAGGGGCCATTAAAATTCTTATATAAAAATGAGAAGTCAAAGACCAAAGCCACCATATCTTTTCCTGTTTTCCAGTATTTGGGTGCCTGCCGCAATAGAGTGTTGGATTTTATACAAGCCTGTCCATTAAAAAAGAAAAGAATTCGAAGTTCAAGGTCATCTGCGTACCCCTCCGCGCCCGGAACTTTTCCAAAATTACCTATTTTTTGAATAAATGACACATCTTCTTTCAGTCTTCAAATCACTTCTGTGCCACACCGGTTTGGTTTGTGATCTTAATTCCAGTCTGACGCTCAAAAGCTTTTTTCATCACTTTCAAGTCTGACAATTTGCCAAAATCTGCCACTATACTTACTAAAGACCGTTGATGACATTCTCAACGCAGCTGTTGAGCTGCAAAATGCTCTCAGATAAACAACTGGCTGGATGTTGCGTTTGAGATGAACAGATATCCTTCACTTTAGCATGTGTTTATTGTTTGTTTGTTCTAGAGATGAATAGGGACAGCTCTGAGTAATGTTTATCTGAGAGATCTACAATCAGAAAGCGAGATGCTGTTGATTAAGGTTCTAGACAGCCAGCGCGAGATGATAAAGGAGTACTGCAAAGAATCATTAAAAGCAATCACTGATTCGGCACTTATGTATACAATTTGGAAACTTGGCAATGTATTACTTGATAACCGAGGTTTTATTCTGTGATCTTCGAATTAGAGTTACCTCCCACTCCCCCTTGTTCTGCTGGAAACCTCCCATCTAGGTTGCAGTGCAAATTGCTGTAGCTACTCCTCAGCATTTTCTATAAAGAAACATTTTATGAAACCTAATTTAAACAGAGGAATCAGCCTCTATTTTTGAGCCCTCAAAAAACTTTCATTGATGGCTCAGTCTGCTTGGACAAAGAGGGCCCTAAGCAAGTTCGGTGTCAATTATACTTGCCTTAATATTTCCTGTACATCCTTTCAAGTTCTCTCTCGTTATGTGAGGGCGGGAAGTGGTCAAAAAATCATTCAAATAAAATGGATTTTGCTTCAAAATCTCCCTGATTCCAGCTGATGTCATGCCCTGGTCAAGGAAGTAAAATTTTGTTGTCGATATTCGAGCAGTCTTCACCTACTGGGAAAGAACTTGCCTTAGTGTTTGCTTTGTGTTGTTTGCTTTTTTTTTGTTTGTTTGTCGTATTTTTTTCTGAAGAAATCTTTGATTTGATAGCATTCAATTAGAACAGTGCCTTTCACGTTTTCGAAGACTTGTCACCGCCGTATAAGGAATAGATAGCCTAGGGGATTCAAAAAATAATCAAGAAATATTCGAGAAGCACGGATTTGCCGAGCTTGAAAGAAATGCCTCCCTCCTGATCACTGAGGATTTGGATGAAATCACGTGCCAGAGCTGAAACTGGTACCAAAACGAGTTTTCCGAAGTTATTTTGAAACTATTCAATTTTTGAGGAATTGGAAGACGAAATTTGACAAAAGTCTCTTGTGTCAATTGACAAATGCAGTACCCTGAGCTTTTTGGTTCACCGTACTGAATATTTCGACTTAAAATTTACCTGAAGTATGCCGAGGCCTCAACAAGTAGAACGCGCTAACGGTTGCAAGGAGGAATGTGTGCAGTTTGTCAAACGGTATTTCCAATAATATTTATTTCTTTCTTGTTTTCTTTATCTACTTCAGCAAAGAAGAATTTTGCCACTTTCAAAGCCAAATATGGTTCGAACTTGATTCAGAGGAAGTTTCAACCAACTGCTATGTGTCAAGAGAAATTGGCGTAACACTTTCCTATTTCGAGCCTTTCTTAGACACCTTTAGGAACTTGCTTATGTGCAGAGCCCAGTTTTTTTAGAAGCAACTCTGCCTTACAATTTGGCTCCCAAATGAGTTATAATTTGCAAGTAACTTTTTTGTACTTATAAATAATTAAAGTAATTTTCAGAACTAGAAACCCAGCCACCACGTTCCTTTTACTTCAATTTTGGGATTACGAGCCCGCAAAAAGTTTGGGGAACATCTCAAAATAGTTTTCGGAGTGTGTAGCTAACGCCGCACACCTTCAAAAAAATTTCTGTCGCGCCTCCCCCTCCTGAACGGAAATTCTGGGACAGCTATTGATGTGCAGTACTACCACATTACTGCTGGGTAGAATACCGAACAAAAAAGGTGTTTCGTTTTCGTGAAATATTGAGATAAAAGCATGCACTTAAAGAAGTCTCAGGATGTTCCTTCTTTTGAGAACGTTCAAAAGTTTATTGATTATTGAAAACGCTATGTTTACGTCACCATAATGACTTTTGAGAATAGGTTGCAAAAATCGTAATGTCTTAACTTTCAGTTGACGTGGGGTGGATCGGCAGTGGTAGCAGAGTAAAACGATTTTTTTTCCAAATCGTGAGTACTTAGAGTCTAGTAGATTTTCAGCTCAAAATATTGTGCTTGAGGTGCCGAGAAAAGTAGCGGATTTTGCGCGTGAAAACCTACCAGAGGCTCACAATACTCAGTTAAAGGCTTAATGACTTAAAAGTGGTTTTATGAACAACCTTGCAGTAAGGGATCAAGTTTCAAATCTATTTTTGTACGTGCATACCTTGAAATTTTACTAGCATTTCCAGAATTGCGAAACAATGTATAAATTCCAACAGTCATGGTTTCTGCTTGTACGATTTTTTTTCAGGAACTGGTGTCATGGAAATGCAGCCCTTCTCCTTGTGCAGGAAGGTTTTTGAGTATGTGGTCGCACGATGATCCGAGTATGCCTACAACGAATTTGAGCCGGTATCAGCCAGCCAACGGCTACCTTTTCAGAATTTCCAGTGAATTTCGGGGATCAGAGAAATTCTACCACCGTTCCCATAAAACTTCCATAGCATCAACGCTAATTGTGAACTCTATGAGCTGGACAGCTATTGCACACGTAAGCGAGTTCCATACGCTGATTTTTCAAAAAATTCGTTTCATTGATGACCATCAACTGATGCAGATGTGAATCGGAATTCATACCTGAGCGGCGGAGTTTCGAAAAAGGAATTTTTCTCATCCCGCATAAAAAAACTAGCGTGGAATTACTTCATTGTTAGACAAGCTGAATTGACATTCTTGTAGAAATATTCCGCAAATAGGTAACCTTTGAATTAACCGGCTTGGGGGCTGGAAGGGGGAGCTTTGTGACGTAATCAAGGCCGCTCGCGTCCGCTACGCAATCTGCGTCTCTCTCCCGCGCGTGCTCTCCAATCATCATCTAGCTTCAATTAGGTCACGACCCGCCTTGCAGCCGCCAAGCCAGCTGAATCGAAGGATAGTTTTTATTTGAAAGAGGACAAGATGAGATGTGCTAACTCTTTGCTATTGAGTGGGGCATAAATTCAAAAACCGTATATGAAAGAATTTCGCAATCGTGCTTGTATGGTAAATAGGCTAGCTTGAGAAATATGATGCGTACATTTCACCACCGACTAAACATGCTTAGTGCATTTGCTTGCTTCGAAAATTTATGCAGTGCTTTACATTGTTGAAATCTGTATCGTTTGTGTTGAGTGGTACTTGGTATGTTTTGCAGTGGATCGAAAAATGAAAATGTTTTTAAAATTCATGTGAAAACCATAGGCATAGTGTTGAGCTTCACTAAATTCTTCGCCGACCTTGCTACCTGCCTCATTCAAGGACTGGAGAATGACAACCAGATGTTCATCGGTGTTCTTCTTCATCACCGCTGTGGCAATTCTATCATTTTTATCCGGTGTAACTCCTCAAGCTAAGGATGCTTACAAAAGCAAGCATGCATCTGCCTCTATAATCCTTTTCCTCATAGGTGGACAATTCCAGGTGCTATGGATGTGGCAAAAGATGTGTGTCATATGAGTGAAAGAGAGTTTCGAAACTACGTCTCAGCTGCTGAAAAATTCAAACTGCAGGTTGAGAGTCATTTAAGTCACTTCAATTAGTGTAGAAAACTGACAAATACTTTGATGCTGATTTCAGTCTTGTTTGTATGTACAGAGAACAATTCCAGTTATACGAGCACCTATCAAAGTGTCCCACAAAGTGTCACAAAGAGCTCTATAAAAAAGCACTGGCCATACAGTTCAAATTCAACAAGCTAACCCTAGCAGCGAAAGGATTCCTTGTCCAGGTAGGATCTGCGAAAATATTAGCAACGAAAGCAACGTCGCTTTTTTCAAATGAACGCCACATTTCATGGAATCAAGATTTTCAAGAGCTCTTAGAAGCATTCGATACAGCATTTAATACTCTTTCTAAAGATTGTAATATCATTGCATCATATTCATCGAGCTCTCGAAAATTACAAATCTGCGACTTATGCTTTTTGCCAAGTTGGTCAATTTCGCCTATTTTTTTTTACATTTTTGTACCTATTCACCGAAGAAGCATAAATGACAGGTAGATAGAGCAATCTCTATAGGACACAAAGTAATTTTCTTCTTTTTCTTTAGCTTGCTACTTAGAGTTTCTGGAATCAATTATTCAATGCCATCAAATTCCATAATTTGTCAGCTCAAACCTCACAGAACAACAACCAGCAAGCAACTCGGGAGTCATTAGATGCAGCTTCTTCTCCTCTTTCTATCAATTGTTTTTTGTTTCCGATTCATCAAGTTTTCCGGCATAAAATCATTATAATTCAGGTTTTCCAAGTCGCCCCAGGCTGTACCCGGAATTTTCGAAAGTTGTTAATCTGAAGCGATGAACGCTCATTTGCTCTGTAGAATTAGTGTAATACCATAATCCATCTTTGTAAGTTTCAAAATCCGAAGATTTACTGGTATTTGATGCATTTGTGTTTGAGACGAGCCTGCTAAAATTTGGTGGTTCCATCAAAAAATCTATACCAAAATTATGACGAGCTCTGGGAAGTAGAAAAAGTTGTGCTGTTTCCTGTAGGGTTTGCTCTATCCATCCATTACTTGGAATCCTTCCAAGGATTGTTACAAAAGCTTGCAAAAATTTTGAAACTTGGCCTTCTCAAAAAGCATTGGTCGCAGATTTTGATAATTTTTCGATAGGTTATTGAATTTTGTGCAGTGGTCATGTAACTTTTAGAAAGAGTATGAAATGGTGCATAAAACGGTAACAGAATCTCTTGCATATCTTTGTTCCACGGGATGTGGCGTACGTTTGAGGAATGCGACATTACTTTCGGAACGACTTAATATATTTTATATCGGCCCAAGCGCTTCGCATTTTTGATTGCAATAGCCATGTTTGCAAAATAGTAAAAGCAAGCAAACACCTTGATCTGCATCAGATGCAGCATCTCTTCCTCTTCCTAGCGTTCATATTCAAAATGCGATACTCTCAGATGAATGGAATAAATGCCGGAGGTTGTTGCGAGCCTTCATTCGTACCAGGTCTAAAGCTCGCTAACTTTTAGTATTTTTATTTGAGAACTTTGAAGTTGCTTTCACGGCCGACTAATAGGGCAGACCTTCTGCAATTTATTGGAGTTTTTGTAAATCTAACTTGTTCTAAAATGTATTGTACTATCCAAGTTACCAAGTTTTCTTTCTGCCTGTTAATGAATTAAGAAATGGTAAGCGCATCAGGTATCAATCCGTGCAGCTTCTTCCCCCTTTCTTGATAGTCACCTTTTCCTTGGAATATATGCGAAATTTGCAGCCGAAATGTTGCACTTCTTAATTTTGAGGATGTCCATCGTTGTACCCTGCATTTCAGAATCTTCATACTTTGCAGCGAGAATCTCTCATGAGCTTTGTAAGGTCATAGAGACAACAAGCTGAAACTAAATATTTTGAATATTTTGCAGGATTCAGTGTAATTTGTTCTGCATTCTTTAATCAAGACTTTCGGAAGATTTTTCGCGAAATCAAAATGAATAAATAAATGTAAAAGTAATTTTGATCTGCAAAAGGTCTGCCTTGATTGTTGGCTATCAAAGCTTCTTCAGGGGTGCAAAGACCCCGAATTAGCGAAAATTAGATATAGAAAAAGTGAAAACGCGTAAAGAGGTGATTAATCTGAATACACTAGCCAAATAACAACCTTCATATAAGTTTTAGCTCTTGATTATCAACTATTACTGACAACTTATCAATATTATCTATCATTCTGATTCAGCTTTGATGTTTCATTGAGTTACTTATCCAAAATCATTACTCTCAGATCCTAGGATATGCGATAGAAGAAATGGACGAGAAAGTGTTAAAAATTCAGAGGTAATTAATCTGAACCCCCAATCAAGTATGTGGACTATCTAAGATTTTTAGCGTACGGAGGGATTTTGATATTTTGCGTGTCGATAAAAATTCATGTGAAGGCCTTCTACATGCGTTTCCTGAGTTGAAAAAATTAGGTAGGTAAATGATTTATTATGCGCAGGAAGATATTATTGAAAGCATATCTGCATTTGCAATATGCTAACTGATTATTTTGCTCTTCGTTTCAGAAGATATAGTGGAACATTACAGGCAATTGCTGAAGCTAATTTGCGGTCCAATCAAAACAGAATCAAAGAATTTCGTCACTTCGAAGCGCTGATTTTCGTGTGATCTATAATAGAAAGGTTATCTGTATCATTATATAAACCGCATTTGTATGTTCTTTTACAAAAGAATATATTTCTATCACTCCGATTTCTCATCGATACTCTAAATGCCAGAAAAATCTGTACCAAATATTCCGAAAACTGGGGACGGAATTTATCTACCCAGAGAGGCATGCCGCCGTGTAATTAGTAGGGGACATGAGAGGTCACGCAAAACCACCATCATATTTGGAACCAGCATGGCAGCTTACCCCCTAAATAGAAATTTTTACCCTAGTTTGACTAATCTCACTAGTGAACTTTGAATAATGAAATCCGACTTCGTAGACTGTAGGACAATGTCGTATCTGTCATGAGCAAAATCTGCTCGTCTTCGGTGTGCAAATTGAGTGCAAATTAGCGTTACAGTTCATGACCTCTCATGTCCCCTACTACTTACATGGCGGCATGCCTCTCTGGGTAGATAAATTCCCGCACCCCGAAAACTTAGCCATAAAATTCCGCGTACTTCAATATGAAAGAGATTTTGGTGAGAGCAGATTTCTCATACAATGATACGTATTGTTGTAAACTTCTCGTTAGTTTTTTGAGCATAGTGCAAGGTTTTACAGAACTCTATAGCACATAATACAGATTAGCGTCTCTGCGAACTTCGCCTTCTTCAGAGTCTAAAAGTCGAAGACACGTAAGTAAATCAGATACGTATTCATTTAGAAATCTTAACATAACGCTCAATCCTCAAATCATCTTCATACAATACCGCTCACAGAATGTGCAAAATTTCCGTGAATGTCGCAGAATTCCGCGAAGGTTCGCGAAATTCCGGGAATTTCGCGACATTCCCGGAATTTCGCGACATTCACGGAAATTTTGCACATTCTGTGAGCGGTATTGTATGTGAATTCTAAAGGGGTGCTTGACATCACTTGATATCACGACGCGCCGATAACATTCAGTTTTCTAGCAAAAAGGGTTTGTCGCAGGTAGTTAGCTATTAGGTTGGTGCAAAAGTAATGGCCGATTTGCGAATTTTCACTTTGACGTGCTATAACTTTTGCAAGAATTCACATTTCCGAATGCGGTAAGAACTTTCAGAAGCAGCAAACCTTCTGCAATGCAGCGCACATTTATTTATACTCATATCACGAACGGGCAGAAAAATATGGATTGAAAAATAAAAAAGGTTTTTCTGCTAGAACCTTGTCTTTGACAATCCATATCTTCCTTCAAAGTGTGTTAGTATAAATGTTAAGTAGCCTATCTTGTAGCCGCAAGCCAGTAGTACAAATGCAATAAAAAGAATTCGGACAGAAAAGTTTGCGAAAAAGAAAAAAAATTGAAATTTGAAATTTCTCACTTTTTTGAACATTTTTTCAGTGTGCCTCAAAGTCCCGATTATAGAATTTTTTGATTTTCTAGGTACTGAACGCTGGATGTTTTTGCAAAAACTGCTAACAGGATGCCCTAGCCCTACGCTTACAGAATTGAGCAAAGCTCCGGCGATTGACTTCTTCAGAAGAAAATTATGGGTTATAAAATGACCGCAACAGCTACCCATCTTTAGGCGCCGATATCTCAGTCTGGATAGCCTCAAAGAACACAGTCAAGTATGCATAATGTAGACAATTTCTATTACATACAATAGCTAAATATTCGAAGAAATCCCATTGATACGCGCTTGAATTCTGACCGGGAAAGTGAAAGCAATGAAATTTTGAATTTGGATGCGGTTATTTGAAGCACAGTAACTTTATAACAGATGAGGATGAGAGCACGTTTCAAGCACCGTTAGATAGAGCATGGAAACAGCTTCGCGATGGTATACTACATTCATTGTAAAGAAAAAGTATTGATGGAAAAAAGTTGCCCTGAAAAAAGGTTTGGAAAATCGGCCATTACTTTTGCACCAACCTAATATATTAGGCTGGAAACTAAATTTTGCAACTGGTTTCGTAACTTTACTCTCTTTGGATATGGTGCACTCAAACTTTGGCATTATGTAGAAGGCAATGTGAGCTACAAGAGAGCGCAAATTGTCTAAATTTTGGACACGAAATAAAAAAGTTTCAGGCGTTTTTCAAAAACTAGTGAAATTTGAGAATTTTTGGGGTTTCAAGCTAAAATGAAGCCTTTGGCAGCCTAGACCATGCGCAGTAATTCGGATTCGTCTATAAATAATTGCTGAAGGTTGACTCCTTTGGCCTAGTAAGAAAGAAACAAAATTTAGGGGTATGTCGAGATTTGGCGTCCTCATAAAGTCGAACGAGTCGATGTACGCAAGAGCTGCTGGGGACGACCGTCAATGACTAAAGAGTCTAAAGCTCAAATTCCGCCGGGACTTTACATAGTAATGTTATTTGACCTGCCGTACGCGAATATCACATTCATTTGTTGAATCAACGCCTTTTTCCTTGTTTAGGGTGAGACCCCATATCGTACACCTACAGTAATCCTACAAAAAAGCCCTTATCACGCAATTCCACTATCGTTTTCGTGATCAGCATGTCGGATAACCCTATGCCAAGTTTCAGCCCTTTCAGACTTCATTCCCAGTTGACCAGCAAGAGCCGTAAAAACCTATTCGATGCTAGTAGTATTGAACATTATTTTGTATAGTAGCTGTCGCGGCTCGAGACGCAAGCCGCTCTTCGGGACAGGAAGCCGGGAGCGCTGATTGTCGCGTTACCGGGCGCGATACCTATTTCGCGCCTGGACCTTTCCTGCTGGGGGCGTTGCCAAACCGAGGGGTATGTAAGGCCTAAGCGATACTCCCCGCGATTCCATCAAATCGCTACATCCACGCGACTTGGCCTTTTGCCAGATGATTACAGATTAATCGTGCTCTAGTGTTAAATGCATGGGCGCATAGCTTTTGCAAGTTCTCGTAAGTTCTCGCAAAAGTAACAAATTTGGCCTAAGCAAAGTGCGTATGTAATCATGAAAAGCTGTTGCAGTGCTAGATTGCGCAGCGACTGGAATCGCATGAGGTATGTCTTAGGCCTAAAGTGGTGTGCGCCTCTTCGAGTTTTGTTGTTATCGATTGTTTGGTGAAAAGGTCAGGCAGGCAGCACCTCCATTAACTCCCTAGATGATCATAGGTTACGAGCGGTTGAGCCTTCGTTGTTATTCTTGTGTTTAGAGACGCTCAGCTAAATATTGTGGATCGTTGCGTAGGTGGAAAGGATGCGGGAGTGGAGAGAGTCACGCCGTTCGTAAGGGCTAAGGGCTTGCGGTTAACCTTGTGGAGAACCCGAAACTGTTAGTTGGAGACATCACCTTGGGCATCGGCAGCACGAGACGAGGCGGCTTGTGCCGTGCCCTTCTCTTTTAAAGTGGTAGCTAGTGGTTTTTGAGTAGTTCTATTTTTTGTTTATTATAATGTAATCTAGTAGTGTTGGTGATTGTTCATGTTATATGCGTTCGGGATGTAGGCGTACAGCAGACGCGCTAGCAGGTGCTCACTAGTGCGGAAGCGTTATATCCCGGATTTCGGAAGTTGTGTTGTTAGGCGGACGAGCACTGGGCAAAGTGCTGAACACACCGCGCCGTAACAGTAGCCATTATTTTGATATACACTGATGGGCCACTTGCAGTCACAATGATTTGACGGACGAAAGCGGTATGCTTGCCGGTAGCTCCACTTTACTTGGATAGTCGACGATTGAGTACAAGGTCTCGAAGTTTTGACAATAGAAAGGTTAAGTTACATGCATTTTTGCAATTTGCTATCGGCTGATGTATTGCACTATTGTACTATATTGCAAAGGCTCAGCCACTCTGAAGAAACTCTAAGGACGTCTCTGGTTACCTGTATGTCTTATGTGGGTCTTGAGCGTCAAGTCTCAGTTTTGATAAGCATTCGCTTGAATACTTTTGGATATTTTGGAATACATCTTTGAGTTAAACTTCGACTTTGCACAATATCTGCAAAAGGATTTTTTCTGAAGCTTTACGACAATTAAAGTCCTATGAAATCTCATTTTTGTCGTCGCTAGAATCTCAGAAATGTCGCAATCGGTGTCTTAGTCTTAATAATAAAGCTGAATGCTATCTGTCCGTTTGTCTGTACGTATGTTCCGAATAGAAATTATTATTTCTGATCCGGCCAAACTTGGCACACATACACTTCGCGGCGGCGGGTGTCGTAAGCTACTCTTCGTCATCGATCGATATCGATTCTACCAAATTTCATCAATTTTTAACAAAGTTTGCGCTACGGGGCTAGGAGTTGGAACAGGGTGAAGGGGCAGGTGTGCGTGCTAATTACAATTACATCATTAGTTTTTAAAATCAAAAGTCGCTTTTATTGATTTTATCGATTTTTGCAAAGTTTGCGCCACGGGACTGGGATTTGGCACAGACGGGTAAGAGGACATATGATTACGAAAACATAATGGGAAGAGGGGTCAGGCAGCAAATGTGCAGAAAGTTGGAAATGACAACTGTCATAGTGCATTGACAGGGCCGGACGGAGACGAGTATGCCGTGGGCGGACGTTAGGTATCCAGCCGATGTGCGAAGGCATCTGTTAGTGGTTTACGCTAGGCCACGCACCTTACTTGCTTTAGTGGTGAGACCTAGCGATGCACCCACTCCTAACTGGTGGAACTTACTCTAGGTAACACTGTACTTACTTTGTAAAATGCTAAAATTTTGGTTGTGTGATGGAAAAATTACTTTTGAGTTCCTCAAAAATTTGGAAATTCGTAGAACTTTAGTGAATCGGAATTGTTATGAGTTTAATGGTGCAAAGATCATTTGTCCGAGCTGCTCCTATCTTACTGCATAAAACTTTCCCTTCCTCCACAAACCTCGTTCAATACATTGCTAACAATGAGATGGGGAAAGCAGTAATAAAAAAAGGGTTTTTACGAGAATCATTGAAGGCACCGTCTACCCAAAGTTGGGTTTCACGAGATTCGATGGCATACTGATGTGGGCCCCCACATTGGGCCAACCCCAAGTTTCCCCGAAAAAGATTGGCCGGAGCGAGAAACCCGCTCCGGAAGGTACGTAATCCGGAGCTGGTCACTCCGCCCATTTTGCAGGTTTGGCGGGCTGCGGCGCTGATACACGTCGGGCTATAACC